CCTAAGAACTGTTCATTCATGATACAAGCAAGAATGATTAATGCTAACTTGTCTGTATTGTTCACAGAATAACCGTGAACAACATTTAAACATGCATAAGTTTACGCTATGTTCTCAAGACAGTACTACCCGAAGTCAGTAAAAATTGTGCTGATATGAGGAATCATCTTAAGGTGACTGACCAGCTAGTTGTGACGAGGTAAGGCATTCTATCACGGTCAACATCGATTTACGTAGTGTATTACAGTCAGAGGGAACCCGCAACTGCGTGGATATCGACTTCGCCATTAATGGAACTCACAGTGCCTCACTGTATTCCTTCAAAACTACACAGAAAATGATCAGCCACAAGGCAAAACGTTCGCAGCCAGTGGTCCCTTCACATGCTGGGATGAGCGGTGAAACGAGGAATCCCCGCTCTCATGCGGCAACTTCTCCGGCGCGCGTGCAAGGCGTGTAGTCTAAACATCAGCCGTAGGCGTTTCATCCTCAGATAACACACGAAGACCTTTGCAACATTTCGCGTACGTATTCCAAAGGGATCCATGGACCACTGTCCGCAGCTTATCACTTTACCGACCTAGCAGTGATGGGTCTCCTGGCAATTTTCTGAAACTCTTGTGCATAACAAATGTTTTAGCAAAAGTTATTTCAGCCACAAAGAACGAGGCTATAAAGTGGACCATACCCAGCGAGTAGGGAATTACTTGAAGAAAGGAATTAGCGTCTTCGAAGGCACTATCTCAGAACTCCCATGGAAGGGCTGAGAAAACCACAGGAAAAACTCAGTGCCAATTCACTTTAGATCGTATCTCAGCAACTATAACGTAGAACTACGATGCAGAATAAATTCAAAATTAAAAAGAAATATATTTTAGTTTAGGTTTAAATGGTTTTCTTGGCCCGCTTAAATGTACTTGCATGTTTGATAACAAGCACTTTTAACTCATGAGGCGTACTCATAATTATTAAACTTGTCTCATCCACACGTGTTTTGTATAATGATCAAATGGTGAAATATAACACGTACTTCTAATTAAACTTGTCTCATCCACATGTGTTTTGTATAATGATAAAATGGTGAAATATAACACGTACTTCTATTTAATCCTTTAACAAGAAAAAAACGTTACTAAAATTTCCTTAATGATCGTGTTTTCATAAAGAATCCCACGAACAGACAAAAAGACTTCGCAGTGTGTATCGAACTTTGCTCAGAAAACAAGAGACAGCGAGCAATTGTGACGTCAACAAAATCAATTACATGGAAAGCAAGCGCCATGTTGTTGCTAATACTCTTCCAGTAATGCACAAACGCTATTAAGGACGCTTTTCCGGGTAACTGTTCTAGTGTAATGAATGGATGCAGGCAAGAGACTGAGACTTCGAGGAACAGTAAGCGCTGTGCTGCTACTGAGGAAGTGCACGTGATTGTTATTAAAATAATAATTATTAATACCAGTCAATAAACATAAATGGTGTAGTAGTCACAACGTTCATGTACAGCAGACTCCCGATTATCGGGGTTGGTTGGGAAATATATTTTCCAGGGTAATCTAAAATAGCTGCGGCCACCAGGGAGGCGTCATATTGTCGCTTGCCAAAGTAGGGTTAGTCACGACAACCCGCGTCTCATCCCCCCCCCCCCAAAAAAAAAAAACGCAAAGCTACTTGAGGCAAACCATCGCCGTAACATTCGAGACTGGCTGTAATAAACCCACGAACAACGGCAGAAGGCGAGTTCACACTGACAAGACGTGGCGAAACTGCTAGCGTATTTTGGCCAATCAAGTAGATTCTGAGACGAGACACGCAGATCCCCATAAAATCTAAACCTAAGCTAACTACCACGCACAACAAACACCAGTATTATGACATCATGTTAGAAGTTTATGTTTATTTTACAATTTCTATGCGATGCTTACACAAAGCGTATAAAATGAACGCATGTCCGTCAACTTCAAAATTATCAAAGCAATTTTGATAAAATGTTATTCTCATGAAGCTCAAAACGAACTTAAACTCACAATGTTAAATTTTGTCGTGAAGAAATGAGGGCAATACACTCGGTAATTTAAGAACTGTTGGCCATTAATGGATCATTACAGTCTCCATTTAAATAGTAGAACCTGCGAAACGTATCTTGAATATGAGTGACAAGATCCCTCCCTGTCGAGGTGGGTTATTATTGATCGAAATCTTGTAGCCATAGGATTCATTGCAAAGATTGGCAATGCTCTTCCGGTACAAGACTAACGACTCTCTTATCAGAAATAATTTTCATAAAATATCATTAACACATACAACTACAATTATAATTCTCGTTTTATCCTTCTTCTTCGTCGTAGATCATCTTATACCAACTTACGTAACGGTGTAAACTGTAAAGCAATGAACCATAACGGCCTTATTTTCCTTTCTGGTTCTCAAACTTTACTTAGCGTTCTTTTACCTCATATGGTAGTTTAAAAATAATGACAGAATTTAAAATGTATTGTCACTACTGGAAAAATCTTTCAAATTCAACAGCACCTGATTTCTTTCGTATCTTCTTCTCTTGTCTCTTTCCACATTTACTACTACTACTACTATGGCGTAACAGCTCAAAATCGAGCCCTAGCCTCCTCTATCTTCTTCCTCCAATCCTCTCTATCCAACGCTATCCTTCTCCAAGCTGCTGTTCCAAGGAGATTTCTGGAGTCAGTCGTCACTGCATCCAGCCATCTACCTTTAGGTCTTCCCACTGGTCTTCTCCCATATATTTTCCAATATTTTTTTAGGTATCCTATACTCTTCCATCCTGTAGACATGTCCAGCCCATTTCAACCTTCTCAGTTTAATGTGAGTTACTATATCATCACTTTTATATAGTCTATATAGCTCATGATTGTAGCGTATCTTCCACTTTAAGTTTTCCTGTACTGGTCCAAAGATTCTTCTCAAAATCTTCCTTTCAAGTGCGCCCAGCATCATTTCTGTTTTCTTTGTCAGTGTCCAGAGCAGCGGATGCTCCTGATGATGGTCTTATATTTTTTCTAATTAGTGTTCTGTCTGACGACAGGTCCGTATGAACAGGATCCTTCCATCCTTTTCTCGGACTGGGACCTGTTCATATACGTTCTTGGCAGATGATCCAGAAGTGGTTTGCCATTGCCTTCTTCTGTGTGTGAATGGAGTAATTGTTGGGATGCCACGGAGAAACCGGGGAAGCCCCCGGTGGAAAACTCCGTGTTGCCTAGACCACGGCCTTGCCCAACACAAGTTACAAATTCGGGCACCGCTTTACTGCTTTTATGTACAATCTATATGTAAAAGCTACCTAACGGTTGCAGCAACAGGAAACTAGGACATTTCATCAAGCTGCTTCGTTACTGATAATTACAATCGTAAACAGTAGCCTGTGCTATTATACATCAAATTGCCACGAAGTGGGGTACGTGCATAAGTACTGACACCATTGTGACGTGTGCTGTGAACCCCATGTGAAGGTGCGGTATGCCACATGACGGGGAACGAACATCTGATATCTTACATATAATAGTCAATGTGGGGGCAGAAAGAGGACAGCTACACCGCCCACACGCTGAGTCAGGAAAACCTCGATTAAGTGTCACGAGAAAGAGTGGATCAAGTCGTTGCGTCATCGCGTTTCAAGTGTGAAGAAGAAAGACCACGGAAACAACAATTACTCGACTCCAGACAATACACTTCAGCCGTGGCCACAACATCTGAGGTAGAGGTTACGAACGCATTCTTCCATACGTCTTTACAGCAGAGGGATAGCCTACATTCCAAATTCGGGATATGCTTGTTGTAATTCAGCTGGAAATATTCTTTTTATTTTCATGCCTCTTGAAAAGAGTCTAAAGATTAAAATGGACCATAGAAAATAATAAAATAGTTTTACATGTTGCGTTGTGTGTGTGAATCTATCCCTGTAAGGAAAGAACTTGGATTGGGGGGGGGGGGGGTTTTTTTTGGTCTTCTGGGATTTGGTGCCGTGTAGACTCGCTGTTAGAGGCTAAGTAAAGTAAAGCTGTCCCACTACACGCCATGTAGGCGTTTGGGGTGAGAGGAGGTATAGCTCCTCTCTTCCTTGACCTCGGCACTAGATGGGGGTGAGTGGTCAGTATCACGCCCCGGCCGGCAACGTTTCGGAAAAACAAACTGCCACAATCTTCGGGGTTAAAGGGAGAGGAGCCTAAGGAAGAGTCTAACTTGTTTGATGAGGAAGACAGTAAAGTTAACCAGTATAAAATTAAATAAAATTCGGAATGAACGAATGCAAAGTTGTAATTACATAAAGAATAGCACAGAAAACTGTCCATTATGAACCAAAATTGGTAGTCAGGGGCCACCCTTAAGTACGCAGCACGGCAAGCACAGATATGATGGCAGTCTTCTGGGTTGTTGCGCCGTGAAGTTTGGAAGAAGTTTAACGACGTTTCAGAGGTCCTTGCTGCCTCCACCATCAGAGCGAGCAACAACCCAGAAGACAGCCATCTTCAGACTCACCGCCGTGAAAATCTCAAACCCAACCTCTTATTAAATTTGTCAAAATCAAACTAAAATTAAAAATGGCTTCATAAGTGTAAATGAAACAAGCCAATGGTTGACAAAGGCAATGTTCTGTGCGGTTTACAGCCTAATTCTGCGCTTAAATCGCTAGCACCCACTGCATTGGCTACATACGCCCACAACATAGGCCATTTCGTAAAATATGGAGTAAATTACATTTTACTTCCGGCATACAGGATTGTAAAATAAAACGCACTTAAATCAAATGGCTCTGCTTCGAGTGTTCCGCGAATATATTTTATTACCATGCAGCAGCTTGAGAATCACTGTCCTAGTGACATCTACTGGTAACTTAAGAAAATTTCATAAATTTGCTTCAAGTGTCGAGAGGCGTATACCCGTCATTTTCATCAACAAAAATATTTTGTTCTTCTGGTTCAAGCTTTTGCGTTTAATAAAATAAAACAGGAGTTGGTACTTACATGTAGTGCTACCGCCCATCTCGATAATGCACTTGCACTCTCTCGAGATCTCGCGGTTGTTGAAGGGTCGAACCCGAACTGCGACCTTAACGGATGACATCTTCTAACTGCAAGAAACATAGACTGTAAGAAAACGTCTGAGCAATCCGGCGGAATGCTTTACATAGCACGGACAGATAAAACGGCGGTTTTCCGTAGACCTGAAACCAATGTCACATCACAATGTACAGAACAGCCAACAAATCCAAACTTGGCTAGAATGCTCACTTACACAATAATATAAAAATTACTCCGTTATGCGATATTAAAATCCAGATGTCATAATCACCCATACTGGCCATCTATAAAAATAATTATGCGGTCACATGAACTAAATGCTGTCGGAAGGTCGAAATATAACGAAAAGAAATGCATCATAATCCAATTACTTCACCAGACTCAGAAAAAGTAACGTTAAACACAAAATGTTTCGTAGCCACAAGAAAATAAAAACAGAGGAAACAAACCGAAAGACTTGTTCATTAACAGTTTTTGTTATTTAGTGTTCTGTCTGACGACAGGTCCATATGAACAGGATCCTTCCATCCTTTTCTCGGACTGGGACCTGTTCATATACGTTCTTGGCAGATGATCCAGAAGTGGTTTTCCATTGCCTTCTTCTGTGTGTGAATGGAGTAATTGTTGGGATGCCACGGAGAAACCGGGGAAGCCCCCGGAGGAAAACTCCGTGTTGCCTAGACCATGGCCTTGCCCAACACAAGTTATAAATTCGGGCACCGCCGGGAATCGAACCCGGGACCCCAGGATTACAAGGCCAGCGTTCTAACCGCTTGACCACCGTGGCTACATTCATTAACTGTGACACATAATAACAAGTGTTAATTACTTAAAGAAAAACAGCTCAGTTCTCGTGAAAGATTGTCGCACCAGAAGGGCTCCAGAACTTATATTTTCTTTGTTTCTTTAGCTAGTATTCTTAAAAGCTCATCCTAAAGCCGATTTCATTAGAAGATATATATTCGAAATCCTGCATCTTTATGTAGTTTTCTAAATCTCTTATTACTTCAATCTAGTCATTTCATTAACGACACTGTTAGCCATCAAGACATGCACTGGTTTCTCCAAATTTCTTCTGTCATCACGGAAATGAATTTCAATCAACAGTAAATTGTGTTTACGCAAATCACGTACGTATAACGATTATTGAGTTTCGCGTTCAAGGTTGAGAACGTGGCATGACGGGAAACCATTCAAGAGACAGAAAAAGGGGTCAGAACCTACACTTCTACTGCAAGCAAACGGTTTTACTTTTATCTTATGTGACCTGCAAATAATGCACACAAAACATGCACATTTCACAGTTACAATATCACACAACAAACAAAATACAACTTACGAATGCCCATTCAACAAATGATTATAGGAGTACTATAATGTATTGTTGTATAAACTGACAGAATATGCATTCATTTTCAACGCCTTTGATTATGTGATGTGACTTAAAGAAAAATCCGTTTCCTTTCAGGCTTTATTACTTGATACGACAGAAACATTCCATGGCTTCAATGTTTAATATTAAATAACGTAACATAGACCAGACTTCATTTGTTTCCCATTGTCTCAAATAATGCGACGTGGCACAACACAAACTGCGCTACTCTTTGATATCGCAGATTTTGTGACAACTTCAATTGATGTTATTGTCTCAAATGATGTGATCTGACTGTTCAGTGTAGCAAATAATAGGGCTTTAACTGGGTTTTATAATATTGTTATACACATGAATTAAATTATTTACAAAGACACATTAACCTTTAACCGTTTTAACGCAGAGTTACGAGTGTTCAATGGTTTATCGAACATTCAACACAGTTTAGTCCCATTTATGCACTAATGTTTCTGTAAAAACAAACATTTTAGCATATTCAAGTGGTATGTTAGATTCCACATCCCTGCCTGTTCAAGATGGAACGCACTAAACCACTCTGTGTATACTTACATTCAGTTCTAACGTGTGAGAATTATTAAAGTTGTGGATAAAGTTTTCAAACCTGTATAAAAGTACGCTGTGGTTTGAGTTAATACAACAGGCTGGAATCACTTGAGATTCTTAACAGCGTCTGCAAGATGCAGCCCGTCTCACACTACGCCTACACACTTGTGACGTCACAATTAGAATGAATTTAGAGCACTTAGAGCATTTAGAGTTCTTACCTTGTATTTTTTTAAATAATATAACTCGCTATTCGCAAACAAAACTATCACAGTCTAGTTTTTAAACCGCACAGAGAAACCAACCCTCCCTCGAAACTCGACATTCTGTTGTTCCACCCTGCACAATATTGTTCCCCAAGATGTCTGACACGGCCGGGGAAATTTTGGAGAATCGAATGACGTCATAGCGCATGCGTTTTTGTTGCGCAGAAAGGTCACTGAAGTGGAGAAAAGGAAAGAAGGTCACGTGGTTCAACTGTCCAACAATGCACAGCAGCTGAGACAATCAATACCAGCAAAACGCTCTACGTCACGCGGGCTCAGACCAATCACAGACTAAGTCAACGCTCCGCCAACCAATCAATACGGCCATTGGCAACCCTGCTGCCATCTACAAGCAGTTCCTTTAACATATTTCACAATTAAATATTAATATAGAATGTTTTCTCGATCTGGAATTTTTCTTTAGACTTCCGTCCGATAAATGAAAAACAAGCGAAGAAATGTAATAATACAAAATGTTAATTACAACAGAAATCACTTATTAAAGTAACATTCACGACTAGGAACTCGACCAATGGCGCGTTCTGGCTGTGGCAGTGTGATTTACGACCTAACCTAACATAAGGCGTTCGGAGATGGTCTGTTGTAATTCAATTTTGGGCATGTCACAAGGACTCAGGCTGAATTTTGTTCCACAGCTGAAGTTCGACAACATAACCTTCAGCGGGATATAAATTAATAACGAAGTTGCGCGAAAAAAAACTGTCCCATGCAAAGTAGCTCTGGACTGTCCGCTCTACGTAAAGCTGTAATGACACTGCATTAGTCCATTAATAGATAACACTCCGCGGAAAACACGACGTCACTCCAGTTAACATTTTCTCACCAACATGATAGAATCGTCTTTAACATTAAGAGTGCAGGGCAGTTATTGATCAATATCTGCTTAACGGACCTATACAGCGAAACGAAAATCTAAGATCTATTTTTATAATGGACAATAATTTAAGCTCATTCAACCAAATACATTTTTTTATATTTAACAAATGTTTAAACAATTTTATATCACTCCTCTTACTCAGGTAAGAGGGTCGTTAGCATGAGAAGAAAAGAAAAATGAGATGCAATTTTATAATTAAAAAAATATACAAAACTGGATGTAACTAGAATTATAACTATCGCCTACAAATCTTAAGATAAGTAATTTAATTTTTAGAAAATAAACAAAACGAAGACATATAATTCGGGAATAGAGAAATACACCAAACTGAAAGGATTAATTTTGATAAACCCCATACGCTGAATTCAATTGGTTCAATACAGGGAACAGTTGATGCGTTTGTGAACGCATCTGTGAACTTCAGCTTCCATAAATGCAGTAAAATCATTGACAATATGAGTATCCAATAACATTCCGAACCAATCAAATAACTTACAGCTGTGTACATTTCATTTATGCCTTTAAATTTCGCTGTAATCGGATTAATCGAATACGAGTTCAGGCTATACTAAATGTGCTTCAGTAAGCTACCTGAAATACGGCAATTTATGCCTCGGGAGTGTAAGTATCGATTTTAAACCTCCCATTACAAGGTGAGTTTTGGCTCTGTCCGTCTGCCAAGAGTGGTGAAGGTGACGCATCTTACCTTAGAATGCAATTCCTACTGCGATATCTTAAAGGAATCCGAACCGACGACATTAAAATAATTTCGGCGCAACCAACAGCTATATACGAAGACAAGCACAGAATAAAGCAGCAATATAGCAAATGAGCAGTAGAAATATTAGAGCATATCCATAACAGCAAACTTGTCACAACATACTAAAATATTTCAAATAAAGGAAATATATTTTAAGATCTACATTTTATAAGTATAAATTTCCGTATAATAAACCGTTTCTGAGATACAGCTCGATCTGAGCTTCATGTAACGCAGGGGTAAGGACCAAAATGAAAACCACATCATACACAGATGAGTTCACCCCCAGATAACACGTGTATAGACAGAGATAATTCTGAAACACATAAAGTAATTTATTTAGGCCAACTTGATAATTCAACGAAGCTGTGTCAACAGTTATACGGCGTCGAAAGTGAAACTATTAATCCGAACAGCGAATTGGTAATGATGCGAAAGTGACCTGTTCTACAACACTACCCTGGAATGTTTTTGCAATGGCTGAGGAAACCCGCCAAGACAACTGATCACCCAGCCGAGATTCGAAACGAAAACCTACGTAATACAAAGCAGGAGTGTGTGAGATCAGCACAAATAAAAAACACAGCCTAGGAAATTCGACACCCCCCACGATCCCTAGAGGAAATCAATTTTGGCTAGTATCTACATGCCGTCTCCTGCCCGTATCACCATTACCCACTATCCTTAGAGCAAAATCATATAAAGGTATCTGTCCAGTCTCATGTCTGTATCTTAACTTCACTGCCGCGCTAACCCCACCGCTTTCTACATGGATAATCCTACACACGAGCTATCATGTCGATAATCAAATTTAATTTTGTATGTGTGAGGGCTAGACACGTTACAGGATAGGGTGTTCACATCACTAGACCGTGAGAATTGAATTCTGAAGTCTGAATTCACTTACACTCCCTGTAATTCAATTTCCCAGTCACTCGTTTTCAGCATTACACGTCACACCACCAATAAACTTCCGGTCTCATCTCAGTCTGTTTTGTATCGATATCGATACAATTCATGAACACATGCTACTTTTTCATTGTACCATCGGCAGTAGAAACATGTTTATATTTGTTAGCTAAAATGTATAAAAAGACTACATTTATTCCGATAATAGTCAAGTGTTGGACTAAAGTGAAGCCCCTAACTTAGGACCGAGCGTCTGATAATGCATTGCTTGGTGAGGGCTGTCATAAATCGTGGGGAAGTGATAGACGAGCGTGGAGCAATGGCGGAATGACAAATAGCAGACAAAAACTGAAGAACTCGGAGAAACCTGCTTCCAGTGCCACTTCGTTCACCTCGAATCTCACTTGAACTCAACCGAAACTGAACTCTGGTCTCCGCAATGAGAAATCAGCGTCTAGACGAAAAGTTGATACTTATCCCTCGTAAAAGGAACTAGACCGTTGCTGTACAGAGTTAAAACGCAGCATCAAAACGAGAACTCAGAAGCAAAGTCGCCTGCACCACACGGCAACTTCTCCAGCACATGAGTTATGCGAAAAGTATACACAGCGGCGTGCAGGGGTAAACCTCAACAGAGTTGCACGCCGTCCACACTGACGCGTAAACATTGCGAATACCTGTGAAGATTTGCGTCCTCTGTAATTAAATCTCCACACCACACTAAACAATTAATGTAGCCTGTCCAGCAATAAATTACATGAAATTAATGTGCATGAAAACTCGACAATATTACTTACACCACATCACGCCTACGTAAGCGATTTCCTTATTATGGGAAACAAAAACAAAAAATCAACAAAGAACGCATGACTAATTAATATACGGACATTTGACTGGAACTCCAATATGGTGTCCCGGAAATTGTCCCATTTCCTTGGAGAGGAAATTATCGGAGTGATGCTGTGAGCTTCACTCGGATCTACGCACGTCATAAACGATTCCATTAACATCTGAAAACGTGGACACACGACATTAATAAGACTTTTGAACAGCAGACATGACTGTGGTAAAGTTCGAGGACCTTCTAAAGATAATCAGGACTCATCACGACAATGAGAATATTAACACAAAAATTATGCATTTCTAGGTGTGCGCATTTAATTATTCATTTATTATATCAAATCTAAAACTTCTTGACGATGGTGAAGAGTCATTTGAATAAAAATTTCCTTGGATATTATCCATCGTCTAATAAAATATAAAATATAAAAACGTAAAACGACGTTTCGGAGATGGGACTTTGGTCCGGAGATAGGGATTAGCTCTATCTAGTGGGCCCAACTGTGTAGGAACCTGAAGACGGAGATTGAGTCCCATCTCCGAAACGTCGTTTTACGTTTTTATATTTTACTAGACGATGGATAATATCCAAGGAAATTTTTATTCAAATGATACATTTATTATGTTCGTACGTAAGCACAGTTTGAGCAACAACGGCGTTAAGCAGCTAGAGGAAGCACGCAGACGCAAATACGAGCGGACCTTCTACAGTCAAACAATACTTTCGTTTTTAAGGAAATCTTTTATACTGGGGGAGTGCTTCCGGTTTCGTACAGTGAAGTTGCATGTCACTGCTAGGACATCCACATCCAGCATTACGTCAGGCAATTTATCACCCGGACCGAGTTCAACAGCAGCTGCTGCGAGGTCATCGTCTACCGGTAGCAAGTAGTTGCAAATGATTCCCACACAGGTGTTACCTGTATTAAAATCTCCTCACACACAAATAAAACCACACAGCTTCGAGACTTATACCAACAATCAAGCTGGGGGTAACATTTGAAGGGGTGTGAAAGTCTAGAACAAGATGAGCCCTACCTCCACGACCACTATATATGCCATCATGACGTGGGTTTTAGCGAAGACGCAGTTTTACTTTCACTGGATTGACATGGTTGGATTTAATGAACGACCGGAACGAGTACTTGATCAATCGGGCTGGGTTGAATGACTGGGCTGAGTGACAAATTGGATTGATAGGACCAGTCGGCTACTTATGATAAATTTTCATGTGGTTGAAATCTATAGGCTTACTAAAGTATATTATTCTTACACAAAATTCCCGACCGGCTACTTTTTTTAATTTAGAGAAAAGAAAGAAGTTATTTCCAGAACTTTAGCTTCCAAACGTGTTTTCGTCAATTTAATGAGGTCAGAGCTTCTGGTACACGATAATTCGCTACTTCTATTGGGGCATTTCCTTTCTGTGGTGCTGGTGGGGGTAACAGTGACTCATACAGTGGTGCCACAATGGTGGAGCTGGTCCTTCAAACGACGACGTCATCAATTCCACGAATAGTTCAGTCGGCCTGAGCGTCAGGGCTTTCAATTCAGAAGATCTTACGATCAAATATCTGGCTTCCCTTTTCAGAGATCACCCTGATCTAACAAAAGCGCTGCAAAATGTACAAGTGCGTAAATATTAAAATATACTAGACTGCCATTTTGTCTGTTGTTCCTTATGTGCGTGAAAATTGATCTTAATCTCATTCAGAAATGGAGGCGTGGTCCATTCAAGCAATTCCACGCCTCCTATAGAGGCCGAAGGTCATTTTATCCAAACCACTTCCTCATAGGTCTATTTGCGCTAGACAATAGGCTACAAATATAATAGTACGTACATGAGCTTTAAAATGGTATGTAAACATTTTAATTGCATTATGTCAAAACGTTTTTAAAGGAATCGATTTTTTTCAGCAGTTAAACTGCTTCCCCTTATTGCAACTATTCTGCAAATTCTTTTTGTCTTCCTCTAGAAGCTTCCCAACCAAAATTATAAAAGTCTATCTTTTTCACAGAACACAAAATATACATGTCCAGCCCATCTACCCTAAAATAATGGGTATTGTGTACGCGAGACGAACGTGACCGTGGTATGAGTACTCAATAACTTTCATCGAAAGCAAGAATTTGTTAAACTCTCTTTATTAAACTGTCTTATTTTTCTGGAATTTAGATCTAGTGAATATCATGAAGAAGTCTCCTAAAATCAATAGGAAGCTTCCTCCTCAAAATATACGGCGCAAGCCCGAAATAACGCGGATGTCTGAGAACGTGAATAACAATCGCTTTAAAAAAAACTCACGCATCACTGGGATTCACAATTTACACATTACGCTACATGCACGAAACAATTACAAAAATACACAAATTACACTTTAACCGACCATAACTATAAAATAAGAATCTTATTACGAAAGTGAAATACAGAAATTCTCTTTACAGAGACGTTCATGAGCAGCACACAGTAATGTTCGTCTTGCATAATGAACAATAATAAATTATTCACTACAGATGTGCTATGTGTTCAACAAATGCTCTGATGCACTATAGGCACCTAATGGTAAATGCTTTTAAACATTTTATAAGCTACCTACATTTGCATGCAAACTTGTCTTCCTTAACGCAAGTTGTATGAATCCCAAGAGAATTTCTGGCCACCTTTTCTTCATTTCTTTATTCCACTCCGCCACATAAACATGTCTTGCAATGGAGGTATGTGCAATGTATTTCTTGCAAGTCTCAAAAGGCGGAAACAAGTTAAAATTACTTTGTTGATCATACCGAATGAAGATCTATGTAATAATAAATTGCAAATGTTCAAAATCAGGTACGATATGCCAGTTGCTTTCATCTGTTTGCTCCACATCTAAAGTTTACAAAGTATATTATAGATGTTCTGGACAGAACAAGATAGCCAAGCAATTTCATACACTATTTCTTAAATCGTGAGTAATGAAGAGGTTTGAGGCAATTTTTATGGGATTCTTTATTTAATATAATTTAAAAACACTTTCGTATTTCACATTGTACATCTCTGCTTTAAGAGGTGTTATTGTCAAATGTTTGTGCATGAAGTAAAGTTGTTCCTGGTATTTAACTATGCACCGCACTATGCACATGAGTGACGTACAGATGGTACACCATCATGTATTTTTAATGTTGACAGTAGAAAAAGGTAAGTGGCTAGCTTCTAGCTTCACACTGAAAATAACTTTACCTTTGAGGAAAGAACCCCAATACCCACTGACAAGGGAGCTATATGGGTCCCAGAGTCTTTCTGTACATTGTGGAAAATACAAAAATCCTGCCCTGGGAGAAATCAACCCATCATCAAGTACGTAGCCTAGTCTTTAATCTCAGAAAACCGAACAGGACCATACAAGAGAAGAGGTGACCACTACTTGCATAAAGCTCATAATAAATTTCGTGCAAATTGGTGAGTTATTCAAAGTTGTAGTGGCACACAGCATAGAAATCTCACAATCCTATTTTTATCCATTGAGAGCAAACTGGGATAATAAAAAAACCAATGTATTTTGGAATGTAAACAATGTTATTTCATGGCAAAACTGTATTTACAACCAGTGGCAACTATAATGACATATGGGGACTGCATTCACAGATGTGTCACTTGGACTCATATAGATTAAATACATTAAATAATTACAGATTTACAACCAGCTGTCAGTAAGCAATACACGTCTATTATAAATAACAATGCACATTAAGGAATAAAGAGTTTTCTAAAATTTGTGATATAAACTCTGAGCTGTTCAGAAAAATTCAAAATTATATATAACCAAAACCTGATACATCTGAAATATAAAAAAATAAATATGTCTTCTAGTAGGTGGTTACCAACGTTTCAGAGAATCTTAAAGCCTCCATTTTGGGGGTAAATACCCTGAATACCGAGTTGATACGTTCCTCCGAAGCACCAGTAACCATCACAAGATTACACGGCGCCACAATCTAGACCATAACCCCATGACAGGAAATATCAACCCTTGGAAACTCATATCAACAAAACTGATACTTTTGACAATGAATATGACAGATTGGCGTATTACCTGTTGGAGAATTCTCAGAATAATAAAGTTCACTTTACTCAACATAAATCAGAACTACTTCGTAACTAGAACTGCTGTGAACAACCAGCCAACAGACGAATTGTACCGGCCAAAAACAGCTGAGATAAAACATGGAGGAAGCAAGACTGGAGAAAACTATATGTAACGTTGGTACAAATGTTAACGGGCTTCTACAAGGTAGTTAAACTTGGTTAAATAATGACACATTTAGTGAAAAATAGCCAATTTACATTATATAAACGTAGCATTTCATATTACAATTTGTACACAGGCTAAAGGAAGTATCATATTCTTGTCAGGACATGTTAGTGAAAAATCGTACACATGTACTCTACATCACAGGTGAGAAAACTATAATGCAAAATTACAGTTTTCCTCCTGGCAATGCCCACATTAATGTGCACTAACTTTTTCTATTATGTAATCTGATTATTCATTACTGTGTTCACAGCAACCTGATATTGGTCTTTATCCTAAACTACATGAATCCACTTCACATCTTCTCACTGTTTGCAAGCTCCATTTTTATATTACCCTCCAATCTGTCTATGACTTTTAAGTGTTCTCTTACCCTCACTTTCTTTCTAGGTATGATGGTTATATTACAAAAGTAATTCATAAATATGTTTTTATTCAGGCAAGGTGTTTGTTTCTCTGCTATATAAAGCATTCTAACAGAGCATAACAGCAAAATAGGGCAGATCAAAAATAAACTGAAACATTATTCACTCACATAACAATTGTAGATCTCAAATACAAATAGCACAACTCCTCTGATTTAAAAAAGAAACCTTGCTACAAAGCTGATGTTAGAAAATCTTGCATAAACAAACTCTGAAAGCATATTGAAATTATAATGTTCTCCAGATTGTTTCTTTAATCATAATTTCACAATGATTTATTGAGGTTTCCTTACATGAATATGTACCAACTATACTGAAAGAGTTTATATTACAATTTCAAATATACTATATAAAATAAACACAAAGGTTAACACAGTTCAGTAACTGCCTACATTTCTTCAAAACACACAATGGTATATTCAAATTTATAACACAACATGAGGGAAAACATCTATACACCTGAAGTTGATATTTTTAGAATTTTTTGCATAAATCCAGGCAAACTGGATGTTGTGAACATCATTATTCTCACATATGCTGGCAAGCAGGTATGTATGTTATAGTATAAATATGTTATGACACCACACAATTAATTTACTTCAAGAACAACACAAAAACTCCTAGTTATTTAATGGGGGAGTTGGTGTATTTGGCATTTCTTGTAAGATATACACAGAGTTTTGTGATGTGACTGCCATGAGAATAAACACTATGTAAGCAATGGTCTGTAAGATTAATGGACGACCGCTGCTGTGTACTACCATCCACACACAGCAAAATAGGGCAGACTGCACAAGATCACAATCAACAATTATTTTATACAAGGAACAATAAATAAATGAACTAAAAATGTGTCAAATTTATTCCCAGCAAACCACAGCTGCCATTTGCAATATGACTACTTTATACAGACATCAAAACTATTTTTACATAATTTGTTTCCTTCTTCTGTAAGAAATATATTTTCACACAATCTTTTTAATTCAGTACTTTGAGGTAGACAAAAAAAATGCTCAAATTTCACAGCTGCTACTGAAGATCCATTCATTAGAAGTAAATGTGCACATGCACTATCAAGCTGCATAAATGTTTGAAATGACTGCAGTACTTTGAAACTGCAAATAAAGTTTTACAAATCCATCACACTACATCTTTACAGCTCAAGAGAGTTAAGACAGAACATCAACCTGGGTATAGACTGCAGATACCAATGCATATCATTATTATATTCAATATAATGAATATTCATTAGCCACAAGCTAATTTTACAACGTTCTGCCTTCACAAAACAGTTTTTGCAATCTAACATAACAAAGTTATACATAATAATGTTGAAAACATAACATAATAATAAATGATTTCATCCCAAGCAATTTCATCCTTCCTTTGCATGAAGTTACTCCTGTGACTAGAAGTATGTACTCAATGTGTGAAGTGGGAAGGGGGTAAAGTTTCATGTATTTTTATACTTCAGAACTTGAAGAGATTTCATAGGATTTCTCATCCATATCCCCTATATATCTTTAGTGTGGTGTTCAGGGGTACCTTCACTGTTATATATTTTATATGCTATTCAAAAGTGAATTAACATGATTCTTAATTTCAGAGATATCAACTGATAAGGATTTTCATATTGATATCAATATAAAAATATTTCATTGGCCAAGGAAAATCAGATAAAAAGTCAGGTTAGAAAAACTGAAGCTTATATAAGAATAGCTTAAACTGTTACAATGCAAACAAGCAAGTTCAGATTTTCATTTACAAATATCACACTGAACGTAACATACACAGAAATCAAATAAGCCATCATGAATTTTTCATACTGATATCAAAATATTTTCAATATCATATTGTATCAAACTAATAACACTAAATGACAGTCCTCATCAATATACAGCATACAGTAGGTACACAGAGTACTTTTACATAGAAAAGTACAAGAAACTAAACCAGAAGTTACATATGATTATTTTTTTATACTTTTGCTGTAATGAGCAGGTGGGGTAAGAAAATATTGATGCTGTAGGAAGTCATGAGTTTACTTGGAATGAAATTTAGTGCTACAATAGTTATGACCCTACACAGCAAATTACATAACTATTTGACTCCACATAATTTGGTACACATCAAGAGGAACAACATCTTCATCCATTATGCAATGCATGCTGATTACTTTCCTTTATCATAAAGTTTACTAGAAAATTCATAACTATCCATAGGATAAATCCAACAGTAACCCCAGACATAACAACTAATTTATCCAGATCTTGCTTTGGCAAACCTCTCTGCAACATCCTTCCAATTTACAATATCAAAGATTGCCTTCACATAATCAGGTCGAACATTCTTATACTGCAGATAGTAAGCATGTTCCCAAACATCAATGCCAAAGAGTGGCACAAGACCTGTAAAAACAGAAAGAAGCTAAAATTGAGACCATAGTAATCGAAAATAAAAGGTAGTGACATGAACATTCATAGACTCACATCTAAAATTATTTTCTGTAATCACAAACTAAAGAAAGAGAATGGTAGTAAATACAAATGAGAATATTTTAGAGAGTTTGTAATGATATGGGGTATATATGTATCTGTAGAACTAACTAACTAACTAGATGGCTTACCAAACCCGAAGGTTCATCACCGAATTAACAGAAGCCCTCCACCAGACCCTGTCCTGGGCCAACAAAATCCAGTCTCCCTCGACTCCTATCTCCCATAGATCCCGCCTGAGATTATCCTCCCATCTACATCTAGGTCTCCCCAGCGGTCTCTTCCCTTCAGGTTTCCCAACCAGTACCCAGTGCACACCTCTTGTCCCATCCATGCGTGCTACATGCCCCGCCCATCTCATTCTTCTCGACTTAATCACCCTGACAATACTGGGGGAGGAGTACAGATTTTTAAGCTCATCATTATGCAGTTTTCTCCATGCCCCATCGTCTTCTCTCTTAGGACCAAATATCCTCCTCAACACCCTGTTCTCAAACACCTGCAATGTGTTCCTCTCTCTGAGTGAGAGACCATGTTTCGCACCCAGAACATGTATGTAAAAAGATACTAAAAGTTTTTTTATTTCAATAAAAATAAAGTGAATTTACCAGATGAACACCTAAACTGTGTTACTGAAAATATAAACTCTGTACAGAACTTCTCCAATTTAATTTCCAAACCACGTATAACTGCTGTGTGAATGTTACATACTTCTTATATCAAGTGTTAAACCATCAAGCCTATAAAGAATGTGTAACTTGGGCTTTCAGGAATAAAGAATGTTTGTATGTAATTTACACAGATTCTTAGTGAAACTAACCTGTTGTTGCTTCCAAAGGGTCTTGATTAGGACAGGATGCTAACTGAAGTCTCTTCGTCTGTTTGTTGTAGCCCAGCCAGCCCCAACCAGAACCTTGAACTCCAACAGATACTGCTGACAGTTGTGCTTTCAAGTTGTCAAGCGAGCCAAAATCTTTCTTAATGGATTCTTCCAACTCATCTGTGAAGAATTATTTATAAACATATAGGTATCCGTGTCACATCCTTCTGCTATATAGCATTCTAAAAGTGAAATGTAATTTATGGGATCTGGGTGCACACATATTGGTAACTAAAATTTCTGTCACAATGAATTTGAATTCCACAGTAAAATGCAGGAGAACAAATCTTATTATACCCAAGCAAGAATTTCACCCTTTTCATATTTTCTTAAAAGAAAGAAAGAAATTATTAACATACGTCTGTAGATTATTTAATGATGTTATATATTTCAAAAGTTATTTAGCAACAAATAAGAGCAGATCTTAGTGTGTCTGATAAAGTTACATAAGGACAAAGAAATGTTTTCAGAATCTTCATAACATGCATGGTACTCCCTTAGTAACTAAACAACATAACATTTGAAAACCAACTGCTTGGGCTTCCTCCAGTAGGAGACAGGTTCTGCCAGAAGATTGTGTGGTTAATGTGGCCTCCACCATTAAACTTGAGAGCAGGAGCCAGGCTGATGATAGTGCTAACACAATCTGCAACAATTGTATCATATCAGTCATTCAGAACTTTGAAAAGGTCTCCAATCTTTGAAATACAATCCTACTCAGAGCGACAGAATGATGATTTGTCTTAATTATCTGTCCTTCCTTCAAAAATATAATTTTATATATGCACTAATAAACACCTTGTGTGTGGGCGAGCACGTATGTATGTGTCAAACTCATAATTAGTAAATAAATACCTCCATGGCCAGCAGAAATCAGATTAATTCATACATTTCAGCTTTGCATTTCTTATACATAAATATGAACATATACAAATGAAAGCCTTTTACATGAGAAAAAAGCCAAAGTATATTATAAACCCCTCTTACTCTTTGCTTGTGCTTCCTTCAGTTTTTCCTCTGCAATATTGAGGTTATTCACATAAGCAGCATGATGTTTTGAGTGATGGAGCTTCATAATCTCAGCACTAATAATGGGTTCTAAAGCATTATAATCATATGGCAGATCTGGAAGTGTATGCTTCTGACGCTGACCTCCACTACACAGAATTCTGGGATGATTACACCTACAAAGCAAGTAAACCGTACAAAATATTTGCCACAATTCTTACTCCAGAAGCAACTAACGTTAGAAAAGATTACTGTTTTCCAAACACACACACCAGTCTTTTAATTATTTAATGACTATGAATCTGGGTGCACATATAATATCCTATAAAATAAGAGATCAGAGTAGTAAGGAGAAAACTCATACCATCTGACAGAACTTGTTTGCCTGAAGAAGAAAAAAGCCTCAAAAAAGACAGCAGGTTCAACTGGTATTCAAAAATGTACCTTAGAAAAACCGAGAGTAAATGTTACACACACTCTACTAGTATTATTTTTCCAGCATGGTAATAAGCGTAATCTAACGTACTACTACCGCATTTAGATGATAGACCTGAAGAAAATCACAAAAAAGTATCAATCAAGATAGCCAGTCACTTGGCCAATATTTGATTCGGTGCCTCCTAAACACGAAGCAAACGATGGACTAAGAAACAGTATATATATGTACATTTAATGAACTTCACAACAAATGCCCTTGAAACGTAACCAGTTATGAGGTGAGTTTATGGCTAGAATGATCGCATATACAATGTACGTAAGTATGTATAATTATTAACTCAAATCACCTGATAAGTGACACTAGTCCATGCCTGCACGAAATCATTGCAACACAACTACTGCGCGAAGCTGTAATGAATTAACTTGACTGACGTAAACTATTCCCAAATGCAATTGCACACACCACAGCTACAAGAATTGTACATCAAAGATCGAATCGGGCCAATATTTCCCTTGCAAAGTTCACGGAGGTTTTACTATTCGATAAGTAACTCTATGCGATGGTATGTAGTTTCCAGTTGGCGACACTGTTTGAATAAAGGAAGCACGCGTTAGCAGACGAAGTATTGAATACAAGATTGTGAAAATAAGTTTTGTAGATGATGCGAGGGCTAACTGAAGGCCTTATGTTAAGAAAACTAGAATAGAATTGTTCTTCTTGCTCTTGTTTGTTCCTTTGAAGACCACGATGATGCCTAAAAGTTTTAATATTTTGTGTTTATTAGTGGGTAAGAAATGCAAAGTACATGGATTTTAGGTTAAGTATTTATCAATATTGTAATTTTGTTTTTGAGTTTTGAGGATTTCACAAGGGTGAAGATATTGACAATGGGGTTTTGGGCTGTGACGCCGTGTGGTCTTGTAGATGGTTACCAAAGACAGAATTGTTTCTTTTAGTATATTTTCTTGGTGATTTATACTAAATTTTTGCAAATGTTTTTCAGCAATTCAATGCACTACTTACAATGAAGAAGGAATGGCCACACCAAACGGTGAAATTGCCAGTGATGAGACTTCAAATGAAGTAGATTCTCACTTGCCATCTGCTGATGTGGAAGATGTATCTGTGAACAAATTTATTGATGAACTACATGTAAGCAGCTTTTAAATGTTGGTGACATAAATCATTTTAAAAGCTGGAATGTTTCAGTAGTGGATGATAATCCATTTTCTCCTTCTGAGCCTCCTGCCTTTTCTATAGAACTATGTAGGTTATCTGTAAGGAAAGAATTTCCGCAAACGACACAGGTCATTTCAACATCTGCATTTCACCTGTTTATTGACATGACACTGAAAGGATATGAGAGATAATTCACCCACACATACATACCCTAAGGATGTATTTTATAAATTTCAAGTGCTCACTGAACTACAATATATTTTGGTAATTCTATTTCCCTTTGTTACTGAATTTGGGAAAGTCATATGATATGTTTCTATATAGATGATAATTAACATAAAGTTTCTAGTACTGGGAAATAGGTTAATATTAATTTACACTGCTTCATTTATGCCTAATATATAGAGAATGTTAATTATGTTCTCTGTATTTGTTCCCTATAGAAGCAGTTTGAGGAAGAACAGCAAGTTAAGATTGCTAAGGAAAGTTTAGAAGCAACTAGTGAAGATGGTACTCTTGGTGATGTTCTGTTGCAGACAACTGCACATGGTGAACAACAGCCATTTCCTGTCACCAGTCTTCAGCAAGAAGGTGGAAATCTCACAACCAATGCTACAAACTTACCAGATGTGTCATGTACTGTTGGGAGAGAGGCAGTTGGTCAGCCTGTAGAGGTATGCCTTTGGTAATTTTATTAATGATGAAGAAATGTATACTGCTGAAAATATATCTCCACATTATGAGGTCATAGTAGATACTGTGCATTCTGTTTTTTTAAAGTGCAGTATTTGAGCACCATTGTCTTACAACTGTAACTTAACTGTCACATAACACATTTTCTGTGGATGTATTATTGAAATTATCTTAAGTCACTTACATAACAATAATCTGTAAGCATTAATATGGCCCAGCCCAATTAATTTTCCTATAACAGTGGATTTTGAAATATCAGTACATATGCGAACTTCATCACTGATGAAACTTATTCTACTTGTTTTAATTTTCTGCCTTAGGTAGTTTACAGTACTACCTGACTAAATTTCTCATTTATGTTAAAAGGACCAGAACTGCTATCCACAAGTGATAGTAATAAATACCCTTTGGTTTTAGCTTCAGTGGAAGAAAACATGCAGTAAGCCTGTAACTTAAAACAGATTGGTTTCTGCATAACTCTGTACACTTCGTGTGTAGTAGAAGTAATGTAATTTCTGCATCAAAGATTAGGAAAATAACTGCAATTAAAAAGAATCACAGACATGGCAAAGTTTTGAGCCAGCTAATTGCATACACTACTACTCACCTTCATATCCCCTAAATCAGGATGTTCTTATAGCTCACATATAGTAGGCTGTATCTTATACAATCATACACAGAAATTACTTTACTGTAGTTTAAAGTTTGGACTACCTGCTGTTCATATAGAGACACTTAGGTTTCTCCTGTTGTTTAGGGAGTATTAACATGATGATGGTACTAGTGTTGTTATCTGCAGCTGGTGAATTCTACAAGGTTGCTGAATCTTCTTGTAACTGAACCGAATGTGACAAATCGCCGTTCAACAGCAGACTGTGTTGCACTGTTATTCTACGCTCGTTACTGCCCATTCAGCAGTATGGCTGCACCTCATTTCAACGCTCTCTCACGTGCATTCCCAGACATTAAAATGGCAGCTGTTGATGCAATGAAACACCACAGGTAATACACTTCTTAAGGTTAATTGCTGGACAGTCTTAGGAATTAAAATCCTGTTTGACTGACATAAACAAAAAGTACAACTTATAATTTAGTTTATATATTCTACATTGTGCATTTATACAAAACTTAATATATGTAACTGAATAATTCTCCAGTAATGGAACCCAAAGGTTCAAATATTTATTTCAGTATTATCTTCCCATCTCCTTGATCTTTAAACTGTCACCTAATGTATAACATACTTTTAAAATTGTTTTACTCTTTTGCATAATGGGTAAACCATAACTTTGGGCTTCTGTTTTACTGGGAAGCCTGGATATCAAATTTTCTTTTCCTGCAGAGAATGGCAGTTACAAGGTCAAGCTTCTCTGTGCTTTTTGCATCAGTGTTAAGTTAATATAAAAAATAGTAATTTACAATTTAAGTTGTGTATTTTTTCAGCTTCAACACACAGTATGGAATTGTTGGAGTCCCAACTATGATGCTGTTTCATAATGGGCGACCAGCTGCGAAGTTCAATGATTCAGAGTACACCTTGGAGATGTTCAGTAGATTTATAACAAAATATACCGGTATACAAAGCTTCATCTCTATCATTATATTAACACTGTGAGCTGAGTAACTCACAAATGACTGGCTGTAGATTGAATGTCTAGGGTTATATTCCTGGTCAGTACATAAAAGATTTTTTTTCTTGGACTCTCTTTTATCCAGTGTGGAAGATACAGCTTTCACCTTTCTTCCACTCTTACCATGTTGTAATCGTTATATAAACAAATAAACTATTAACTTCTAAAGAGTAAATTGACTTAGCTGTGATTTGGATGACTGGAGTTCAGTTCCTGGAAGGGTTAGGAATTTCTTCACCTTCACCACCACTACACCCAGCTTTCTATACAATGGAGTATTGGCAACTATTTCCCGAGGGAAAAAGTGGTCAGAATGTGAAGCTCTCATTTCTGTCTACAGTCATGATCTAGAATCAATGTAGCTCATACCTTTAATATATTGCAAAAGTTATAATTAAACTAAATATCCTAACTGAAATAAACTCAAAACAACAACCTTTTCTGTCTTGCAACAGTGCATGATCATTTGTCAGCACATAGATATTTAAATATGACATGGAATACTTATTAAAATTTGATTTATACATGTTGAGCAGGTGTCCAATTAGGGCCATTTTGACCAGTAATAGCTGCCTTTTATTGAAAGGATTCAATGTATTTTTGAAAAAGAAATCAAATATTCAAATTTCTTTCTAAAAAAATTTGAATACCTCTTGTTGAGATTACTACTTTATGTTATTTATTAATGAGCAATTTTTGTGATAATGATCATCAATGGATTTAAATATGTGCAGGTATAGAGCCACAAGGTAAGCTGTTTGTGACATCAGCAGACTTTGGTGGGCCAGTGCCAAGTGTCCTGGTCAAAGAGAATGACTACTGCCTTGCCCTGTCATGGATTTTCATACTTGTTTGTGGCATATACTTCTTCAGCAAGTCCACGTGTTGGCGATGGATAGTGGAAACAGTTCAGAATACTTGGACGGAAGCAGAGGCTCAGCATGAACACGTGGAATAAGTACAAGTGATGCAGTGTGCATGACGTGTGAAAGGGGTTGAGAGTATGGATAAAATTTGAAGTTCGTGAATTTGCCTGACACTACACAGGAATCTGAAACTTTACTGTGACATGGAAGATAAGTTTGTATGAATATATTGTGGGCCAAAGTGTAATTCATTTTTAACTGTTCTAATTACCACATTTACTACATATACACTGATTATTTCCATCTTTTGAAACAGGATTGTAAAAATGTGCAATTTCACTCCAGTTGACTTCATGCAGACACGCGTGTCCATTAAGGAAAATAGCTCCTGACCAGATGGAAAAACCTGATCCTTGTTATGGTCACTGGGATTCCAATGAACCTGACACCTTGCCTATTCCTAATTTCTGTGTCCGAGAACACACGAGCCATTTTTCTATTTTCAAGACAAGTCACAGATGTACAGCAGTAGTGACAAATTAAAGATAAAACATTAATTAATATGTGTATATATGAATATATATATATATATATATATATATACTTATTTTGTAATATTGTGTATATAAAAATATAATAAAGGTTATCTCAGCCAACAGAAATTAATTGTTCATCCTGTTACAAACATTGGATTCATACTCATAGCTTCAGCATCAAATAATTCCAGTATATAAAGCAATAAGTACTCTGTCAGCACTTCTCTTTCTTTAAATTTCATTCTATTAAAATATGACTGTAATCTGTCTATACACAACAGTCCATGTACCACAGTTTCACTTTGTCTCATATTCAGTTCACTTGTGATAACATGTTTCAGGTTATAAACCCATCTTCAGGTCATCATCACCTATTATGTAGTACCTCACTAACAGGAAATGATGACCTGAAGATCTGTTTGTAACCTTAAACATATTGTCACAAGTGAAATGAATACAATACAAAAGTTAAACTGTCATATATAGATGGATTACAATAACATTCTAGATAATTCTTACAACATGATGCTCCTATATAATGTTCTCACTCTATTAATTTGTAATATTCACTGTGAGTTTTACACACATTCTTCTCATTAGAAACGCTGTTACTAAAGATGTTTAAATACTAAAAGGTTAAACAAATTGTCTCATCATTACTACTTTGTAGCACATGAGCAAAACAAGTCACCAAGGTTACTGTTTTAAGGTAACACAACTACCACAAATAAATAAAACATATCACAGACATGAAAGAAAACATAAATAACATCTAATGCTGGGTGTGGCTGCAATATCAAATGACAATGTATGAGCTATTAAGTAAAGTCTGGGTAGGCCTAGTTATCATGATGGACACAAAATGTGAACTCAATCCACTAGAATATTGATATAAAATGTGTCAAAACAAGGGAAACCCAAACCCTATTCATGCATGTACACTGGCTGCAATTGGTTTCATGGTCATTCACTGTAGCCTGTATTTGGCAAGTGTGACACTGTACACAAGACAAAGATTCTGTAAGAACATCAAATATTCTCTCCATGAAGAATGAGTTTAAGGCCTGAGCTGAGAAGCTTCCTTGTGAACAACTGCTCCTGGCTCAAGAATATTATAAACAACCGACTTCTTGGCAGCTATCAGCGTATTCCTCATGAGCATGGCAACTGTCATAGGGCCCACTCCGCCTGGCACTGGAGTGATGTAGCCAGCAACCTCACTCACAGCTGAGTGCACACAGTGATTCCAGTTATAATAAGTGAAGAGAGAAAGAAAGGACAAGATTTTTAATAATTACAAACTCTGAAAGTAGCAATCAATGTTGGTCGTCTGCAGTATATTCCTCTGAAATTTTGGTACCTACCTAAAAGTCCACACATCACAACCCAAAAGACCAACACTGACATCTTCACTACTGTAAGAACCAAAAATGTCACATCTGAAAGCAGCCAGCTGGGTGTAAATCAGTTTTACTGAATTTTTCTATCAGTACTTGCAGATGAGTACAAAGAAAGAACTTTTACATAAGCCATACATATTTTAATATTGGTATTGTTATCATAGTGCACACTTAAGGAAGAACTTCCACCTTTCATTCTTTCTAACTCATCATTCAAATTTCTCATATGAAGCTACATTAACCTCTGTAATTAACAGAGCATCATTAAATAATCTGCAGCACAATCCCTGTTTTCAGCGAACAACATTCTCCACCCAAAACTACTTCTACATTAAAGTAAAAAAATTAATTTACCTTCAAAGTCTACATCTCCAACAAGTTTAGACTTTCCTGTCTTCTTGTTGTGGATCCTGGTGATACCAACATCAATTATGCAAGCACCAGGCTTCACCATGTCAGCTCGGATCAGGTTCGGTACACCTGAAACAAGATTAGCACAAGAAATTTAAAACTTGAAAACTACGAGAAAGGCAAGTTCATCTTTCTACTTTTAATATAATGCATCCTGGATTGTTGTAGATTCAAGGTTGTCTTCATTTAAACTTAACTCACCAGCTGCAGTGACAATGATATCAGCTGACCTTGTGAGCAATGCCAACTGATCTGGGGGCGTGTAGCGATGGCAGATTGTTGTGGTGGCATCCATGGCAGATGTCTCACCTGCAACACAGATAATCATATTTATAAATCACTTCAACAACTAATAAGGATTTTTACTCAAGGTCCTACAGCTACCTGTAAATTTAATTTTAGTCAAATTATCAGAAATCTTAAAACTTTGCATACCGTGTAGTTGGAATATAAAGCATGTATACAAACAAAAGTTTTGTTTGTATACATGCCTTATATCCCAAAACTTAAATTTATTTTCACATACAACAGTATTTATAAAACAACATGACAACACTTATCTTAAGCAGCAAATAAATTTGTTTGCACTTAAATAAAGATGGCTGTCTACTTGGCTGTTGTGTTGTCTAGTCTGGTAGAAGTTTGCCATTTCTTCGGTGACCAATGTGATCACTCTGATAATGGAAGCAGGAATCTCTGAAATGCTAGAAAACATCTACCAGACTAGACAACACAACAGCCAAGAAGACAGCCATCTTCACACCTGCCAGACTGAGAACTTAAAATCTTGTTTTACTTACCCAAACCATCAGCATGCAGCAACATTGCAATTGGCATACCAACATTCTTTGATCTTCCACAGACTACAGCATGCTTCCCAAATGTTTTCACACCTATGGAAAGAAAAGATCAACTGCTTGCAATAAAACAAAAAATGAGAATCTAAGCAGCAACACCATACTGTCTGATATCAATGGATTTCATACGACTGGGAAGAGGGAACAGAGATCAAACTGAATGGGAAGAGAAAATATTTATCCACGTTGTGCATTTTCTAAAACAATTCTCTCTACACCTTCACTATCATAATCAGGGACATGCACTAACAGAAGTGTTAGACTGGTTCAGAAAAAGCTGTGACGATGTCATTAAGATGCAAAGTTTAAATTTAAAACTGTTCTTCACTAATATTGTGTGTTTATTAGTTCCAGTCCATAGCTTGAAGAGAAGTATAATGTCTTACTGATTAACAGGGGAAAATAAGTTAGTTTTGAAACTGAATAAATTAACATGAAATACGACACTGTCAGTCATTAATTGAATTTACTGTATATATTTAAATTTTATTCTTAAACTATAACTACATATCATACCTCAAATCCGAACTTGGAAAAGTATCTACATGTCTGGCAACTAACTACGGTATGTAGAAATCATGGAGGTTGCACTATAAAGCATCAGTCCTAGGCTTGGTAGCCACAAGAACATTTTCCAAATACTATTACTGTCCATAATCATACACACATGATGTTCCATTTAAAACACAACCCTAAATACTACACATAAACACCCCTTCAGACAAAATGATAAAACCAAACAGTCCACATCACAGACAAACACTCGCTATGGCCTGGTCCTCCTTTTAGCAAACAAACACAACTCACATAAATGCACATAAAATTATAAAGTCTTTTACATTCGTAATATTCTGGTGAATTATTTTTTGCATTGTACATACCCGTTCTCTTGATGAGCTCCTGGACTCCAAGTGGTGTACATGGAATTAGTGTATTCATGTCCAGGCAGAATCGTCCCACATTAACAATGTTGAAACCATCGACGTCCTTGTGAGGAGCTATAGCATTGCATATAGCTCGTTCTGTTATGTGTTTTGGAAGGGGCAGCTGTAAATCACAGGTACTGTGATATAACAATACAATTAAACTCATTATTTGTATAAACCTACATCATTTTATTTTAGCTTTAGCCTATTCAAATGTGATGTTTTATTATTCATTTGCAGAATGACTACTTTTAGAAAGCTTGCAAATGATGAGTTCTACAGAAGTGTAAACATTCACGCATTCAGTCAAGGCCACATTCAACAGAAAGAATGTCCTCTCTTCCTTCCATCATGCAAGTACCCAATCAATTTCTGCTTTGCTTATAAAATGTTTTACAATAGGGCCTTCTAATAAAAAATGCAATGTACACCTAAACTTTGTGATTTTCTTTTTACATTATGTAGTCACATTTCTTTAAAATGTTAAAAAAAATTCCATGTCATAAGTCTCTATCCCAGGACTAAATCTGATTCATACCTGCACCAGGATTCCATCAACATGAGAGTCACCATTCAAGAACTGGATATGGTCCAGTAGCTCATTCTGTGTTACACTTGGTGGCACCTTGAGTGTTCTGCTCTCAATCCCTGTAATAAATATTATGAATTCAAAGTTCTCTGCCAACCATAAATCAAATTATTTTCTTCACACTTTTCTTGGGTATTGAGGTGTAGCAGTTATTAGCTGCTTTGTATTTATTAGGTGTCAGGTTTGAAACTTGGCACAGAATCAAAGTATCCTGATTTTTTTGTAGCTTTCCCTCCAAGCACAGCTGCTCCACATCCTTTCCAAATCGTCATTTACAATCAACCTGCCATTCACATCTGCACAAATTATGTTGTTAACAAAGTGGCATGACATAAACCAAGAAAAAAACTTCATTCATTATCAACAGTGCAATATTGAACACATGAATGAATTCATGACTGAACAAATCAATCTCACCAATTTCTCTAGCAGCCTGCATCTTGTTCTTTACATAAGTAGCACTGGCAGGATCCTCCCCCACAAGCAAGGCTGTCAAGTGAGGTCGCTTGTTGCCCCGTGCAATCCACTCGTCTACCTCTACTTTTAATTCACGACGAATATCTTTAGCAATCTTAACACCATCTATGATCTGCGCTTTCAATCTGAAACAAAACCATGCACTGAGTGTAGCAGTATAACTGTGTGTGTGTGTGTGTGTGCACATGTGCATGTGGTTCTTGAAGCATGACATTATTTCTTAACAAGGAGACAAAAACCATTTACATAACAGAAATTTGTTCTGCCAAGCAACATATGTGAGAGAATAATGAAGACAGTAAATAAATGTTGCTAGCAAATATACTGCCAACCTTGTGAAATGACTGGAAAGAATAATACATTGTTCTGCCAGTGTGATGCAATACATTGGGATGTGATCCTCTGTGCATCATAACATAGAGATAAGCCTAGACAATTTTCAGTTTTGTTTATAAACCTTCCTTCCAGTATCAATTTGTCTGGATCAACTGCTTCTACTATGTACAAGTTTTGTTGGAAGGCAGACAAAGAAAATTAATTTCAAGGTTTTCTCATTGACCTTCAAACAATGGTACAGCTTGTAGTTGTAAAATCCCACAAGCAAAACATTTAATACAAGACTTACAAAAACTGTGGTTACTTTGGGATGGGGGAAGGGAGCCTTATGGTACAGTTTAAAAATACAAAATTTTCAGGCTGTAGTTATATGTATGTGAGAATCAATTAAGAAAGTTGTAGTATCAAACCATATAACACCAAGCAGGCATGTGTGACAGTAATATCAAGACTTGTACTATATTTACTGAGTAACCAGATCAAGTCATTTTCAATACAGCACCAGACAAAACATTGAGCAACAAGTAAATCACAGACTTTGGCACACATTGTTCAAATCAGTATAGATAAAACAGGAAGAATGATAAATGAAAAGCAGAAGTCCATTTGATGTCTATGTTTATTTCCTCCAACCAAACCAAACTAGTTTAAGTCAGTTAAAGGTTATCACAAGTCATAACCTTTCAAACATTTTCTTAGCTTGTGGCACAGGATGCAAGCAAAACAAAACAGGTTAAAATCTGTTCATATGAATTGGACTTTTAAAAGCAAATATATCCAAACCTTCTTTAGTAGGACACAATGGCTTTGAAGAAGAGAACATCTAGAGGCATATAATGTTTATAATGACTACAAGTTATTTGTGCATGTGATATGAAATTAACCAATACAAATTAAATTAAACAAGGATTATAAAAGTGCTCATGTACACACAAACACATACAAATCACTGACCCAAAGATAAGTTAAATATCTACCAAAAATTCAATTTTTCAGAAGAGCACTTTTGCTGTCAAATAAAAAATACTTCTTCCATACTAATTTGTTTAACTGAAGCAGGATGTACTTATTACTGGCTGAGAAGAAATTACCATAGAACAATCATCATAGAACATCACATTTTTGTTGACTTTACCCTTGGGTCAACAATATGTCAAATATTTTGGCTAGCATTGCAGTTGTCATACTCAGGGTATGCCACAGATATAATAATATACGTTATTTCTCATTCAACAATATATAACTCATGCAGTGCGCCCATCATCATTAAATACACAAACGTCTTCCGTGTAAATCCTGGTGGTCAAGATCGTTCGAGCATTAATGGTGTTAGTGGCGTTAGTTTCAATGGCAATAGTGTTACTAAACAAAACCGATGCATATAACATTAAGCTCGGACATAAAACTAATTTGTAGGAACTACAAAACCGACCGCTTTATAAGAATACGGCACAGGCTACGAAATTCTACATCAGTATCTTACGAACAACCTCACCTTTCCGAAGATATGTGCACACCCCTCACACAAGTAGCATTCTTGAATGTTGAAATCACCTTAACGGATTTTGTTAAAAAACTTTTATAAATTGCAGTGTTCATCGTAGCATTTAATACTGTACTAATACAAAATATGTAACAATTACAAGATTCTATCGAACCCACCAACACACTACTCTAACACCGTCCTTCGCAATACTACAAAACCGTCAGCTAGCAGACGAAGTCTCAGTGATATGATCACTCTGGTTTTATATCCATGCTCCATAGATATCAACCTACTTAAGGCCGAAGCCAAGGTTAACGTTCGAAGATTGCTGGCAAAGGGTATTGATTTCTCGTAATTGTTCGTTTATGTTCTCCATTTTTATTAAAATAGGTTTATCCGTCCTCGAGTTGATGCATGCGAATGGTCGAAGATATCCATGCTTTGCATCAGTAATGCAAACCTAAGATAAAAAATATACCTTGATAATGCAGACAGCAAGCACCTCTAAAATGCTGATGAACCCAGAAGCCAGCTGCTATCTTCAATATACTATTGCCGTACAATTAACATATATCCTGTTTTCTGCACAGAACTACAAATTACTCCACCAGTGTGTATGGCTGCTCTGCTTGTGGCAAATCTCAAATTTCTGACAGCTGGTTGGACATAGGATTTATTTCATGGACCTTCTGAATGAACACAGGTGTGAAACAGTTGAATAAGGAAAGTAGCAAATATATACTTTTGTGCCTTGTTGGAGAGCTTTGCATAACATGCATAAATTTGAACTGTAACTAGGTCCTGTCTGTCATCCAAATTTCATCTTGAAACTATTGAACTGTGGGTCTACCCCAAAAAAGCTGCTGAGCACATTTATCCAAGTTTAATTTCACCTGCAAACTCTGAGTGCATAAATCTCAAACTCTAAAACACTGCCTTATACAGAAAAATGGCTTGTTTAGTCCCTGAGAAATATTAAAAATATCTGATATTTTTTAAGTTATAGAAATGTAGATAGGCCTGTTTTAAATTATAACATTATTCCCTAATTTTAGTTTCAGATTTTTTGTGCATTAATGTAAAAAAGGTGCTTGTATGTCACAGTATAATTGCATATTGCTAGAAAAGTCCCCTACATCAAGGACCAAGCATACCATCTGGGTCCTGGTGCTTTTTTCATGCTCAATTTAATATCTGCATTGAAACCACAATGTTGTTCAATAGAACTGGTATATTCCAGTTTCCACTTTTCTGGGATCAGCTCAGATCACTTGAGTAAGCATCAGCATCAAGAAATTCTGATGTAACACTTCCTTCAGAATGTTAATGCAGTAAGAAACACAGAAAACTTTAATTACAGTTCCACCGTCTTATTTATTTTGTGGTTTATTTAACAATGCAATCAGTAGCTAAAAACTGTACTGTCAAATGATACTAAACAATGAACTGGAGGGGATTTTAAGGAAGTGGTTATCACCAAATTTAAGATACTATCATGGGTTTAGTTTATAGGGACTGAGGAAGACCACAAAAAGTCATGATGACCAATTTCCTGCCCTAGAGTTGAACCTCGGACCACCCAAATACGAAGCAAGGGTGCTAAGCTCTTGGTTGGTTGGTTGGTTGGTGTCTGGTAATTCCGTTGTGGTTTTGTGACCAATCACAAGGTAATTTTGCAGACCACATAACAGTCCATGATAGAAAGAGTTAGTATGTAGGGTCATCAGCAGAAGTTATAAATATCTTTGGCTTTTTTTTTCTTCACAGATAAAATTTCAGCACTCTTTATTTAGTAACTTCTACTTTTGTGTGTTACTGTATGGACCCTAACTTCCTGTTCAAGTTTGGTTCAGTTCTCATTGTCAAATTCTGGACTACACAAATCAAATTAAATCTCTGGAACAGTATACATCATCAGGAATTACTCTTTGTGAAATAATGTTGCATGTTGTTGTTGTCCACATGAGAAACTTTTCGTTACCTTCTGTGTTCATATAGCATAGCTGGTAGCTGTAACTGAAACCAAAATTCAGCACACTTAAAAACATTCTGCTCAGAGCTTTTTGAAATAATGTTTGCAAAAATACTAAAAAAAAGGACATCACATACAGTTTGAGTTCCACTAAAGCAGAGAACTAATTCTAATGCACAGACTAACAAAGACATTATTTTCAAAATGTCAGATAATATAAATAAAAGTCTGCAAACTGAAGTTTTCCTACCAAAAGCACCAGATATAGGACTCTAGGACAGATCAGTGTAAATGAGTTTCATAATTTTGTGGGGTTCCTGTACATAATTAGGCTTCCCATGGTATCAGAGTGTGGAACAGTGGCTGCACACTTCTTATACAACTTAAGTGGAGTTATCCAGTTAGCCCATGACTTATAAGAATGACCAAGGTTAGAGGTCAGTAGGGCAACAAGTTATCAAAGGAACTGGTAAAATCCAGTTTTCACATTGCCATGCCTTGAGTTATTGTCGATTGTGGTATTCTTGGTTGGGAAGCCACGTAATCTTGCAAGTGGCTAACAACATTTCAAAGACCACAACTGACATTTTCACTGGCATGAGAACCACAAATCTCAGCAGATATTGATTGTAGAAGTATGACCACTTCTTAGGCTATTCTGCGTAAACTGAAGTTTTACTAAAATGTAACTACAGAAGTACATAAGGCCACTTGATATAATGACATGCATCTTGCTTACATACATTTTCAAATTTATTTAGTCTTGAAGCCTTGTGTAATTTTTACATAATTTAATTTTCATGAGAAACAGCAAGTTCAAAACTTCTTGGATATTTCATCACTGAGTTATTACTATAAAATACTGCAGGACAGCATGTAAAATATGTTAAAAATTATAGACACATCACCTTCTTTGGAAAACTGTGATCTTGAGACAAGTCAACATTTATTACAAGCACCATATACAAATATTCATACACACTGTTAAATGTATGAGAATACCAAAGTTTCTCATTTGGCACAGTAATTTCTTCTCACAGATTATTGAATACACTCAGTGTAGAATCTCCCAATTTAATCAAGTATACAACAAAACATTAGTAAACAGTCCATTTCTGTGGAAGACACTAACTGAAAGAAAAAACATATTGTAAAATTCTTATAGCTGTGCATATATGTTAGGTTCATAGTTTTAAACCTGATTTTAGAAGAATCCAATCTAACAGAACAAAGATGGTATAAAAAAAATTGGCACAAAGATTCACAGAAAATAAACTTTTTTCTATTGTACAAGGTGTTTAAGTGATATTTACAAATATTGTACTGTTCATATGATTATAAAATGCAATACAGAAGTTATCATAGTGATATTGCTCAGTTACAAACTTATTAACCTCTAATTTTCATGGTGTGATACTGAGCTCACGTTTATTACACTGCAGGTTACACCAATAGTTCAATCCAAATATCTAACAAAGAAAGGGATTCTGAAGTCCACTGTGGATCAGAAATTGTAACACACACATTTCTTATTAAATTCAGTCAAAGTTTGTGTACTGAATCAAATGGTGGGCTCATTACTGTAAGTGTAGGACATAAAAGCAGAAAACATAGAAGCTTTCATTGTCAAACAGATAATGTAAAGCTGTCCAGAATCCAGCCCAATTAATATCATCTTGGTAACTAAGTTTGTGATGGACATCATTCCATCAACAGCTTATAGACAGTCATGCAAGTTTGTATTTTCAGTTGTATCTGGTTGACATGGTCAGTCTTTCAGTTTTCCTACATGATTTGAACTGTAAATGTAGCACCACGATATAACCCCAAAGCATATTTCATTAATATTTAAGAATTCTGTCCATACCATAAAGAAAACAAACACTTCACCATTGCAAAGATCAACTGGTTAATACTGTTTATGGAAATAACTGATGTTTAGAGCAAGAACCATACAAAATGCATAATTATGAAATGCAGAGTTAGTGATAGTTAAAGTGCTACCACTGAACTTTAAAGGGGTCAGATTACCATCTTACTATCAAACAACTAGCACTTGCATAAGGGATGTCTGTATTTTACTAATTAAGAAAGAAATATCTGAATCATTTATGAACTGATCACCAAATAGATATTTATGCACTATCCTTGGATGTTTTTTATGTGAGCTGATCATTAGTAATATGAAACATTCTGCATATTATTAAAATATCCATGCTGTCTTACCTTCAATGTGAAACATGTTAAATGTACTGACAATTCACATTCTTAAAAGAAACAATTAGACTCAATTGCTCACTGGTGTTGACCGATGTTTAAATCTTGTGATCCAGCTGTTATCTGCTCTGGCTATATTAAATTTGTGCATAACATCATACATGTTCAAATTTTAACATTTTATAGATGCTGTTCCCTTATTTTAAAAAATACAGCAAATGCCATTCACTTGCAAATTTAAGTGCCATGGTGCTGTATAAACAAAAATTAACAGAAATATAATGAAGATTTTGTGAATAAAAGCATGGTTTGATGTGTGCCATACAATTCAGGTGATACCACCATCTGAATGTAACAGTTACGTTAATTTATTGAGCAGTGAAGAAAAGTATATAATGCACTGTGTACTCAGATATAGTGATGTTGCATCTTGGCAACAGTATCCCTGCAGTAAGAAAATTATTCCTATTCTTTTACATACAAATTGAAGTTTGCAATGTTGTGAAACCTTCCACTGACATAACACCTTGATTTCCTGGCAAAGGTCAACATTCCAGATACAACTGACCCTATAAATGCAAACAGGGATTTTTAATACAACATTTTCAGGAAAAAAGTATGACATTTAGATAAAGATGGTACTTCAATATGTTCTTAATGCAACCTCTTAAATTACCTCCATATATGCAATGTATTTAATAACATAAAAAACATTAGTTTTGAGTAAACTCCCTGGTTTTGGTATTACTAACAAACTCGCTTAGTAATGTGTGTTAAACAGTTGACTATACCAGGTTGAAACATAAGCACACATGATTCAAATCCTGGCACAAGACTAGCAAAGACAAATATTAAATAAAAACATTATATGCATCATAGTCTCACAAGATCTCAAGATCTGCATCATTAATGTACAGGATACCCATCTAACATGCGCGCATACACCCACACACACACAGACATATTGTCAATATACACTTTATACAGTCCTTGATTACTTATGTATGTACATCTTTGGTATTGATGTCATTATCACTTCCTTGCTCTCAGAAGTATATCACAGTGCACTGAACACTCAACTTGTGTTCTTTCTTTCTTTCTTCTCATTATCTAGGAGCTCATTATTATCAACTATAATTTTCAACAATTTACTGGCCATAAAATGTAAATGTTTACAACAAAAACTGCAATTCTGCTACTGTTCCGCAGTAACAATTAGAAATTTTTACAGTGGCACTGTTTATTTCCATTCCTTATACAGCAAAACCTGTTACAGATTTATATAGAAAAGTGGATTGAAATTTGAGGCAGTGAAAACTTGTAAAGGCCCAGGCACAATGTGTGTTGATGTTCTGCTGCTCTTTCCCCCCTCGCACATCACAGTTTTTGTACAAATTAGTCAACTGTATGTATTCTCTTACAATGAAAAGTTATGCTGTGTAAGGAACACTGACTGTACTTTGTTCAAACATAACCATAAAATTACAGCATTTACTAGTATTGCACTCATTAAAAGTCTGACATGTTTCAACCCCTATAGGGTCCCTACAGATAACTCTCAAGTCATCATCAGAGGCCCTATAACATGTTGGGTTTTACTAAGTATAACACAGGTAATTATTGTAATTTGATAGCTAAGTTTGAACAAAGTGAAATATATTACAATGGTATGCAACCTAATGTAGAAGCACTGACTGTACATATAAATCAGTTGGGAATACATTTGTTGGTTTCAGCAGTGATATAATTAGAAATGTGAGACTAAGATTTGAGCATTCAACTCTCTTACTCAGGTGTGCACTTGAGCATCACTGGAATGTTTCCCTACTTTTTAGGTCCCAATAGACACTTGTGAGTGGCTATGAGAAGATAAATATGAGGCAGACTAGTACCACACCAAAGACCCAGTGTAATGGTAACACATTTACTACAGAACTGCGTACTGGAATGTGCACAATTGTTGCTGTTGTCAGAGAACTCAGACTAAGTTCGCTAAGGACACGTGGACTTGCACCCTGCACTAAGTTTGCAAGCTTCTCTGCTTCACGTTCACATGCCTCCAGTTGCAGTTCTGAGGGCGGATTCCTTCCTACGGCCTGCACCAACACAAATAGATCCATCTCGACAGTGAGGTAACCACGAACTGCACACTCTGCCACCTGAACTTGACGCTCAAGGGACTGCAGCACTGCCTTTACAGTCAGAGCACTTACAGCATTCCCTCGCAGAGCATATAATGCACGGTCCACCTGCTTCTGGCTGTAGAGTAAACGCAAAGAACCTCCACATACAGGACAACATGCCCCAGGCGGGGTAATGCCCATACACCCCAGACGGGCCAGAGGAAGGCACTTCACAGTACTGTCACTACACTGCAGTTTTGCTTGATCTCCTATTAAACCAACAGCAATGCATGGACCTCGATAATCAACACTCACTAGATTGGCATGAGCACCACACTCAGAGAGGTAGGTCTCACCATCAATACCACATACTGGCCCATCATTTTCACAGTTCACCTATAATTAAATTAAAATAAATATAAGAAATAATATTACAACAATTATTCTTGTACCACAAGATAATAATGGGTTAGTAGAAAGTTTATAGTAATGGGCAGAATTTGTGTATCAAATAATGGAATAAACTGAACAGCTAGTAACTTACAAGACAGGGTCCTGTATAAGCAAGCGCCTTCCGATAGCGAATCAAATAGCATACGTTGGGGTGCTCCTGACCATCAGTATCACACACAGGATCATGAGGCATGTTTGTGCAGGGTGCAGTAACATCCACTGAAACCACAATCAGAGTTGTGATATATTTTTTACACAATTTGAAAGATTCAGATCATACAATAACAAATTTCACAGCAAAGAGCCATGATAAAAATAAAAAACAAAGCATCCACCCTTTTTTCTTTCTTTCTTGACGAGTTCTTACCATCATAAACAACAATTTACTGCAGATTATTATCCTACAAAGACAGCTGCAGGTCATAGGTTACAGAAGTGGCCCTACAAAACTAACAGGTACGACACAGTGCAGAGGTTTCTCATATCTTGCACGTCAAGCAGAGATAGTTCAGTGGTAAGATATACATAGATATTTAGAACAATAAGCAGTGATATCTGTATACATAACAAACAACACGGTGTGTAATGCTAGGAGGCCCAAATATAATTCCAACTGCCAAATGATGGTGGTTAATACATTCAGAATATTTATTGATAAGAGTTACGGGAGACTCATTGCAATCTTACATTTTGCTAAAATGATAAAAATCCAAGGGAACCAATTTTTTTATTTTTCTAGTTAAAAATGTTCAGTACTTAGAGTTTCATGTGTACGGATGGAACGAAGACACAAAGCAAAAATATATTTTAAATCCACCATTTCATCAACTGAACTCCCACAAAGTATATCAGCATCTTACTATAAGACTGAAGTGTTCACAACCCCCAGTGACTTCTGTGCTGTCCCATGGTCTGAAATATTTTCACAGCTCTGCTTCACTGTACACTAAAGACTGAAACTGGACAAAGGTTTGGGCAAACTGATAATTAAGTGGTACAAAATGAGAGAAATAAGCGCACTTACCACACTGAAACTGTGGGCATGGCTTATGCAACAAGGACAGACACACTTTCCTGGCAGGAATACATTGCTTGTCATCACTGCAAGGGTTAGGATCACAAGGATCCTTCTCAGAGCAACTTCCAAACTCGAAATCTGCGTCCTTCAGGCCAGCACATCTGTCACATGAACAACTTAGATTTAGATGTGTACTGCTGTTAAGAATTATATTTAACATGTCACATGGTACCATAATCCAAAAGACCACAATCCACATTTACACTGCCATGTAAATCTTGAATGTCATAACATATAAGCGTTTCTGAAGAAATTATAAAACCAAGCAAGAAACACACAAGACAAGCGCCTACCGGGCCAGACATGAGCTGGGATATGTGTCACCATTGCGCCCACAAACTGGAACATGGTGTGGGGGGCAATTGCAAGGTAAGCTGGTGTATGCAGGGTCCAGTCCTCCAAGGGATGTCACTTCACATTGTTTCTTCCTGCAAGTGATCTCACCAGCATAACAACTGCATATGTTGCAGTCCATGTAGAACCACATGCTGTGCTCTGCAACAGATGCACTACATTCATTACTGGAACAGTCCCTACTTGATGTTGTGTGTATCATGATCCAGCAAGAGTAAGTTTGGGCAATATACAGTCCTAATTTTATCAACATTATTAATTAAAAAATTTATTAAAAAATATGTTTTTTTGTGTGCTGGGTGTCAAAACTCTTAGTTTATATTGAGTTATATAATCAACATTATGAGGTGCAGATTGGTGATTTTTTAAGTAGTTCTGTGAAAACATATAGTACAGATAAAAGTGACAAATCACCAGATATGAATAAATACCGTATTGATTCAATGGTACAGAGCCTTCCTTTAGCGCTTCATAATTATTTGCCTGATATCAAATTTCCTGTCATATGAAACCAACATATCCTGCCCTAAGCCAGCTCAGTACAGTTCACACCTTTATAATCCATTTTTGTAATGCAGATCTTAATATTAAACTTTTATGCATGCCATATATATTTCAAGTGATCTCTTTTTAAAGGCTTTTTCTGTACCTTTTTTTTATGCATTTGTTCTTTCGCCAAAGTAATTTACATCCCACACTGCTGCTCTTCAACCATAATGTTTCGCAGCTGCTTACCAATTTTACGATTGCCAAGCCAACAAGAGTCCAGAGGGTAGCAAGGCATGAGCTGGCAGCGCTCAACTACTCCTTGTGGTGAACACTGGCATATCTTGAGGCAACCCTTCTGTCCTGCTGCAAGGGGGATGCGCACATAGGAACCCTGAGGGACGAGATACTGAGACACCTCACCGAGCTTGCAGCCTGGAAGTTATTAAGACACTATAATTTCAATGGGGGATGAGAAGTACTGTGAAGAACTAAGATTACAGATTACTATATTCTTTCAAATGGATTCGTCTGAATAAAGTTGATAATGACCCACATTTCCTAAGGCCTTCACACTGGAGGAAACTGACTGGATGAACTTTATTTGCATGCAGACTGCCTTCATCCCTACGAAAAGTGTCCTAATACACATTAGTCGGTCAGATGGGTTGGCACCTAAAACTAGGATAGCCAAATATTTCAAAACTATAAGAAGGCAACCAGAGATAAACTCTCCTCGGTATTCTTTCAGAATAAAAATGAACAAACTTTTCCTCCTAAAATTAAAATTAGACATGCACTTGCTTCCCAACAATTTAGTCTACTCACCTGGTGAGCACTGGTAGGGCAGGCAAGGTCGACCAGTAGCACAATTCCTGTTGACAGAACACACCTCGCTGTTGTTGCAAGGATCACCCTTGCAGGGTGATGTGACCTCATCTTGTGGTTGCAAATATGGGTTGTCACTAGGCTCAAGAAACGGTCGAAGCGAGATGCATGGGGTATCAGGATTCTCTGGAGAAAGCCGGGAACAAAGAGATGCCGCATTGTGGCCTGTGGGCATACGTGACCAGTCCATACACTGGCTCAGCAACTCATAGCAATCCTCTCTGAAAACAAATTCTTACTCTTAGCTGCACAGTAGTGATACAGACCCACAATATCAATTTTCTCCATTTTACAGACCAATGTACTGACTATCAAAGAACTGAATGCGGACAAAAGGGCAACAAACCTGTGAGGTTATATTATCACAAGAAATGGATATTAGTTATTGCTAATTTACAAATACTATAATTTTCATGCAGAGGTATTTCCTCTGAGAGAAAAATAACATCAAATCAGAGATGGTTGAGTGGCCTGAATATATTTCATAAATAGGATTTGAAGGAATAATGGGAAACTCCTTTCCTGTGGAGCTTAAAACATGGGAGATCCTCTTTATGATGATAAATGCAGAGGGAGGGTTGCCAGGAGGTCTGCATGTGACATACCCATTATATGACTACCTACCTCACTTGGCAATAGCTGCATGGCTGCATAATGGTTTAGCAGTATAATGCCACAATGTACAGCCAGATGGACTGCACAAATGTTGTGATGCACAGCTCATAAAAGTTAACAGATCGTAAAAATATAACTATTAATTTGTAAAAAAGAAAAAATCAGTCTTAAAATTGTGTGATACCAATGTACAGTACATTTAGGAAAATAATTATCCTGCCTCATGCAGTGGAAATCAAAGAAAATTACATACATCAGACTACTACATGACATTTACCTGCAGATTCTATTAGCATGAGTGTGTCTATGGCAAGGTTTGATCTGCAGGGCACATGCAACTGCCTTCCACATGTTGGGCGAGCACCGCGAGATATTCCGAACAGGCAACTGCAGGCCAGGAAGCCCCAGGTACCCCTGTTGCTGCCACAGCGCAACGTCATACCTGGCAGCATCATCAGCCTGAAGGGTGCAGCTGCGGAAGAGGTCTGTGGGTCGGTTGTTGAAATTGGTGCAGTAACTCAGACCTTCACAACCCAGTTCACATGGTTCCTCAACTGAACAACACAAAATTGAACTTTCTGAGTAAAGTTGTCAAATCACTGCAGGAACAGGTAAACTGAAAATTTAACCAAATAATTTATGCATTTTTAACCAATACTTTATCATTGCTAAATAACAATTGGATAGTGAACAAACAAAACTGTCTGTTTCACATTAAAATGTTTAAAAAGAATAGATCCCTGATACAATGAATCACAGATATTGCTGTCATCAGGCTAAAGGTGGAAAAGTTACGATATTTTGAAAAGAGGTACTTTTATAAACATCAAAATGCAGTTTAAAGGGTGTATGGAAAAAGTAAGTAAGAAAAAAGGTACTTTTGGTTAGTGTTGTTGTTGGTAGGGTATACATTTTAATTGTATTGTCTTACAGAACAGAAGATGATGCTTCCTTATTGTCTATGCAACAAGAAGAAAAATAAACAAGTATGCAAATGGTATTCATCATCTCTGCAAGTAAATGGGTTGTTAAAGTTAAAACACCTTGCAGATCTTTCAGTAAGGTTCAGGGTACTATACAAGCATGTGTCCAAACATACAAATAAATGTGATAGAAGAAACTTCAGCCTCACCAGCTGATTCCAGAATTTCATCTACAATATTTCTATGAAAATTATGATGACATATCAAGAAAAAAACTAAAATTTTGGTAAAACAGGAATGAAGGCTCTCATTAAAAATTAAGAAAAATCTTTTCCCACAACCTGTTTCAATGTACACACATTACCTTCATCAATGCAGTGAAAAAGACTGTCTTCAGAAAGCTCTGACAAACACTCTCGATCAAACTCGTCCCATGATCTAGTCCATTCATTAGAGAATGTCTTCAGACACAGCCGCCTGCAGGTGGGACTCTCTGCCTTAGAGCAACAGTGCAGTTTGGCAGAGTCCATGCCCATGCGATCAATTCGTGATACTTCAACTGTTGTTGGACCTGCAGCTGACTCTGAGCTCTGAAGAAAGCACTGCCACAATACATCCTGCAAATTACAATGATGGTGATGACTCTTTTAGCCTGGGGCAATCGGTGGTAGTTTCAGGATGTCCAAAATTGCATGGAGTTGAAATCTCTACATTTATATAATAGATAAAACCCATAAGAATTTTGGATTTAAATAAAGGAAAGAAAATTATTTACATTGGTATAACTCATATTCATCATGGTTACTGACAGCAATCTCAGCCTTTATCATCAGTGCTCTGATGATAACGGCAGCAAGAACCTCTGAAATGTCGGTAAAGTGCAACTCTATTAAAGGGTTTTAAAGTAGCAGCTTAAGAATTATAATGAATGTGTAATCAGCCCTCTGTTTCTAAAATACTTGTTGAATGCAAGAAAACTTGGAAGACATACACTTACATGAGGCAATGGTGGGCCACAACCTCCTTCCTGCAAGCTGTCAACAATTTCCTGTCCTGTGGTCTTGATGCGAAGGATCCGGCGACACGAGTCCCTGCACTGTTTTTTGCCTGCCTTGTCACAGCAGTGTAGATCTGAAATAAAATGATAATTTCCTTCATGACTGGTCTTAATGCTACTCATTAATCAATCTGTCAGTATGTTGTCAGATATCATAATAGGGTAAGTCAATTTATCAATAAATTCACTCACTACCTACAGATTTCACTAATGGATCAGTTCTCATCCCCACAATCCATCCAGTGTTAGAAACAGATTACAGGTCTTATGAACTGTTACTTCCGATGGCACAGTTCTTATGATGTCAAAATTTCTGTCTCTGCGGTTCTTCTCTAACCAAAGAAATTCGTAATTCTCTCATTCAGATAAAAGCTTAAACAATAATACACTCCTTTTTTCAGGCTCTCCATGGTTGCAATGTTAAGCCCCATATTGTAGGAGATGAATTGAACAAGTTACAAGAGATTATAAAAATATATGCGTAAACATAGTTGGGTACTGGCCACTTGCTTAACTTGCGGTAAATAATGCCATAAGATCAATGGTCGTCATGAACAATGGATGTTCTCTACTGTGTAAAAATGTCATATATTGATAAATTCCTTCTCGACACAACCAATTCTCGATGTCAGGTGATACTTACACTTGTGTGGGTTAGTGGTTGGAGTGACACGAGTGAAGTTTTTGACACACTGCAGAACTTTGGGGCTCTGGTCACTACAGGATTCGATCACAGAACTGCGGGCCTCTCGACTTGGTGTCAGCTGAGACCTGAAGATGGCTCTGCAGGCTTGGTGGCACTCAGTTGTCTTTGCATTCCCACAACACTCTTCGCCAATCTGAAATTGTGAATCGGACAGTATGAAATTAAATACGACCTAGAAGAAGTAACAAAGAAATTTACGTCTGTTAAACTCTGCATGCATTTCTCATTTGCTTCAACTGAGCTACTGGCCTGAATTCACTAACCTATGAACAACGACCAACATAAAAAATAAAAGGTCGATTTTACTTTTCTTTCCACCTTGGATTCACTGGTAATAGAATCAACAGATATGTGACTAGGATCATTTTCTTTCAACCTCAGCATGCAGTTTAAGTGCCTGGAACCCCTAACAGCACATGACAGTGTTAAAAATAATGTTATCACTTCTGAAATATCACAGAATACAGACAAATTATATTACTTGCAGTAATAAAAAATAATTCATTATTTCTCACAAGTCTATACAAAACTTTTCATGTAATTCCTATATCTTATTAGTACAAGTTTAAACACAAATTTGTGATTGGTGTTTAGTAACAGACTGAAGAACTCAGATTTGGCTGCACGCAGACTGAATCTTTTGTAGCATCATACAACACCACACATCAGGCACCTCAGAGTGCTTGTGACACTACTGCATACCATTCATGTCAGTTATACTGTCTTGTTTAACAGGTTTGCCGAAGGAGCAGCCAACCACATTAGGCAATACCAGTTCTCGTGAATGGGAAGGTGGGGGAATGTGAGAGGAATTTTCCACTTTGCTCTGTGTTATGATAGCTTTCATATTTCACAAAAAAAGATAAGCTTGTACTATGCCTAGTTGTATGCTTCCCTCTTACACGAATGTCATGCCACAAGGCATGGCAGTATCAATAAATTGAGGTGGTTGTAGAAGGGCAATGAGATGGGTTGGGCATATGGAAAATATGAAAAATTTGTACAAAATGTCGAGAGTAAAGCGTATATGAAACCTAGAGGTGGATGGACGGATAATATTAAGATGGAAGTATATTACGTAAATAAGATATGAAGTTGCAGACTGCATCCATCTCACTCGGGGTAGGATCAGTGGAATTTCTTAACCAGATGAGCAGATATTGTTAGTTAAGGACTCCACTCGGTGATAGTAGTTAGTTGGTTAGTCACTAATAACATCATGTAGGGCCTTAACATCTTCGAAATATAAGCATGTTTTGCGGTAATATTTCTTTTCAATGCAAAATAAAAACATGGCAGCAGGGGCAAAATCTACATTTAGATTTCGGGTTTCACACAATATGTTGCTGAAACACTGTTACCAACGTGTGAGGAAATTACTGAGGCTGCGTCTGTGTCAACATGGATGCCATGATGAATGACTCACCTCTTGTCTGTCGAGGCAAGTGAAGAACGCGAGTTCGTCGCTCTGACGGCAACTCTGAACCAAATCTTGCCTCCTGGCCGCGGTAACGCATGCGTGCTGACATTTCTCGGACTGGGGCAGAGGGCAACATGCCCGCCCCGACCAGCCCTCACCTTTACTGATCTCTGAAACAAGAAGTCTCATAGTAATGGGGCTGAGAGATCTACAGATGCAGGTGAATGAACCAGTTCGCGTGAACCGCTTGTTTGGCATCTGTTCTCAGCAGCCTTTGTTGGTGTCAGATCAGCACCGTGCAGAATCTTTTAAAATCAACAGACTCTCATATAGGAGAACCCTATGCAAGCCACTGAATACAATTCTAAACCAGCTCCACCGACTTCCTATTCTCAAAATCTGTTTCTCCTCCATCTCATTCGCGGTCTACTAAGTAGTAAGTTCAAACAGTTTCATTCTCAAAAAATTGTGTCTGCATATTTTGGCTCTCCGTCCGTTTTCAATGTTCGGACAATTATAACCTCCCTCGTTTCCAAATCCTTATCGATAACCTCTATAAACCACATTGTTCGTAACTTATATTTATAGATTATACGAAATTTCTCACTTTAGTTAAAACATTTTCCTGAATACTTTATTTTCAATTCATGCGATTTAAGTTATTTCCTCAAACAATCACAAAACAATTTGTAACTTCGTGTGTTTCCTCTCCGCAGAGGTTTCCGATGTAGAATTTCGGATGTTCACGGCAGAGTGAGTTTAAACTGTACTGTATCGACATGAAGTGGTTACAGTTACAGCATTCCACGTATTATTACTTTGTTGTGTGATGTCGGCTAATATTAACAGAAATTAATATATTTGTAGATGACTGTCTTGTGGGATATTGCACCATGTGGTCCTACAGAAGTTTGCGGTCGTTTCAGAGGTGTCTGCTGTCTCCATCATCAGGACGATCCTTATGATGACACCCAGAAGAGGGTAATTTTCATACTCGCCGCCGTGAAAACCTGGAATTTCAGCACGATATGTTTTGTAATAAAACACACATCATTCGTGTGCCACTAATTTCCACAAGACGCTCTATTTCCTAAACTCTGGTGTCCAGTTCTGCCTCTCAGTGACTAGTAACATCCAAATGAAAGCACTATAATTAGGTCCATGTCTGGATGCAGGCGTATATTCCGAACGTGTAATGCAGGACCAGTAAAAATTACTTGCATTCGTATTCCTGACATTGGAATCTCCACGACCAATCGCCAGTTTTACGATAAATTAGTGTTCCACCTAAAGCGGATTTTGCTTTTTCACACCAAATTCAACCTTGTAGGAGGGGTCAGAAGTGGCTCTGTTGTACAAAATGTTTCCTCTCTGTTTCATTCTCTTCTGCATTGTATTAATAAATTCAGTAAATATTCCGTACATACAGAACAAATATCGAAGAGCAGTGTGCTCACAAACGACAGGACAAGAGAATCCGTATTTACAGTCCGAGCCGGATAAAATCTGAAGATAAGTGTCCCACAGCGGCCACGTACTGTAAGCGGACACAACATGTCACCCACGGAAGCCACTATCAACAAAATCATAGCATGCGGTAACCCTGCTGCTCGCAATCAAAAGGGCTTAATAAATTGCACAGCTGGTTGCCTATACACGACAGAGGAATACGAAGGCAGAGGAATGGTCCATTGTCTACGACGAGAGGAAAAATCAACCGCCTCATCCTCCAATGTCTCTTGCTACTATGCCAAGTAAAAACATCAGACTCAACTGCTACACACCTCAGCTTTAATGTGGTTTTCTTCAGGACTATTAAGTGTCTTGATAGTGCACTCAAACGGGCCACGACCAACCCGGAGACCGGGTATCTTAAAAGGCTTTACGCTATTTTCCTCAGATCCCCAGGTAAATTAAGGCATGGTATTACACTTTAAATTATACCACGAACGCTTCCTTTCACATCCTTTCCAATTCATTGTTCACTGACTATCCTACCATCGACGCAGTATAATCTAAGCCAGTGGTATTCAACCTTTTTTGTTCGCGTACCCCCAGATGTAATTTCTCTCTAACTTTGTACCCCCAAAGTTGTTGGTGTATAATTCAAGTTATACATAGTATATAATCCACATCTAAAATAAATTAAATAAATTACATTACTGATTATTCAGTGTTTATCATAAGATATATATTTTTTAAAAAAATTTCACGTACCCCCTAAGATGTCTTCGCGTACCCCAGGTTGAATACCACTGATCTAAGCTACTGAAAGCGTCGATAACCAACGTAATAGCACGATCATTTATCTTCAGTTCTTTTACCGTACATTTTAATCCCCGTATGTTACTTGACAATTGATTAACTCTGCAGTTAATATAACGTCCTTAAATGATGTAAAATCCAACCGCCCAATGAATACTAACGGAATTATACGTCAGTTCTCCACGACATTCAAAAGAAACGAAGATCCGTTCGAGTGTCATGCGGCATTGTGGTGCAAAAGGCAGATTGGAGACTGATTTCCGGTGAAAAATGTGCCACTTTTACAGAGCATCCACACGAGATAAAGTGGCAAAGATCTGAAAAGGTAGAAGCAGTGAGTGGGCCAGGTCAATGTTTGTGGCCTGATAACATTTTACCCTCAGACTCCCCACAGCTCGTATTATGACCACTGCAGTCTCCTGCGTTTATGTTTGCCTACCTGCCGAGAACTTGAAGAAGTTCTCGGCAGGCTTACCAACATCACCGCAATCAATTATGGAATCGGTTTCAGACATGCAGTGCCACACAAGACTCGTCTGCCTACAACGCACATGGACCCAAGAAAGTCTTCACAGAGCGGTGAAATTTAAGAAATTGTTTGGTGTCACCTCAATACAATTTTATTAAGTAATGTCAGAATTTGTGCACCTATTTATATATTTAGTTATTTTTATGACTTCAGATATCTGTTATTTTAGAGCAAATCAACTCTGGTACAAATCATTTCCACATTTTACAAAATTTTTAAACAAATCTAAAATCGAAGATTCCTGTCTTCTGGGTTGTTGCGCTGTGTAGTCTGGTTGATGTTAGCCAACGTTTCAGAGGTCATACTGCCCTGATGGCGGAGGTAGTATGGCCTCTGAAACGTTGGTTAACATCTACCAGAGTACACAGCCCAACAACCCAGAAGACGGGAATCTTCATACTCACCGCTGTGAAACCTCAAATCTTACAAATCTAAAATTACCTAAAAGATACGTGGGCTCCTGATATAAAATAAATAAACTCGTTCTCTGATTCACACACAAAGCAACAGATGTAAATTCATTGCTCAAAACAGCTACTAGGATTACAACAAAGTTTTAAAGACTGAAATCTTTAGAAACATTTAGACTAATACTACCCATTCCGTAACATAAATTTCTCTCGCACATATGACGGAGCCTGAAAGGCCTGATGGGAGTGCTGAATATTTGAAAATAATGGATGTACCTCTGCGGTAACACTGCATCAGAGGCGTATGACGCAGCCGTCGCTTTACGTTTCGCGTGTGTCGTAAACACAGCATCCCACCGCATAACTCACGGCTATCTTGCATCTCGCAGCAGCTACTTAAACACTACCTCACTCCAGAGTCACGAAGCCATGACTTGCTGTGACACAAGGTCGCGAACAAAGACAGTCAACCGAACGGAGAGCCAATGCATTGTAAAAGCCAGTCAGTCACACAGTAGAAACACGTCCAAACCTGCCCAATATGTCAATTCCATAAAATAGTGAACATTGTAATGACAAGGTCTTCCCGGCGCCAATTCAACGCGCCACAAACATGACTTAAGACATAGCAGTAACAATGCGCAGGATGTTATAGATTCGACGCCGACGTCGGGAAGCCCTCAAATGACGTAAAATTTATGGCAGATAAGTCTCAAGATGATACTGAAAACCAAACTAGAAAACCGACGCCGAGCGTCGCGACATCACAAGCTAACAGGAATGTGACTGAGGCCTTGAGATAACAATGAGAGAAACTTCACAAAATCGACGCCCGGCCACTCTTACATCGTTTCCAATTACATCCCGAGGGCTTTAGTCACATGTCTGGCGGCCTTGCATTGCGTCGCGACGCCCAGCGTCGGTTTAACAGTCAGGTTACCATGTCATCGGCAGACTTGCGTGCATTAAACCTGGCGCATCAAACTCTTCGCAATGATAGGCGTAACGGCGTTAAGCGTCACGACGCCAGGCGTCGATTCTATAACGTGACCGTTGTAATGACACGGTCTTCAAGGCGTCAGAAATACGACGCCGAACAAAGGGACACCCTTGCCTTATTCTTGAACTGGCAGCTCGAATAACATGTTTATAATTTGATACCAATCCTTGTACTTATAATTGGCTTTCGTATGAGCCGGGTTGTTTCTTGAAGCCTCGAAAACACAACATCCACAGGCACGTTGTTGGCATCGCCGTAACATAACGCGGCTCGTACCAGAACGCTTTTCAAGTGCAGATGTCAATTTTGTGTTCAATCAGAGTGTACATTAAGGACGTGATGATCATGTGTAACTGATCACCACACAGTGTCGTGTACTCACCCTCCAGTGTCTCGTTCATGCACTGCCAGAAAGATACCTGAAATAAAATCAGACCATTAGTACAACGTTTTCCAATACAACTATCGTAACATAAAGCAAGGCAAAGTAATGCACAGCGCAGCGTAACAACTCAAAGCGCACAGCAGGTTTAGGAAACGAATGCAGTATTATTTGGTTTGGTGTAGACGCGAGAAATCCAAACGCCATTACGAAGAATCAAATCCCGGTCTTCCACTCCGCAGGCAACGACTTTACCAACAGAAGTACAGTCCATGTCTTTTAAATATGGTTCAAGTACAATTGTCTTTGATTTCCACCGTAAGACAAGATGTCCCTGTGCTTACAGAACCATGCAATGAACACATTCGTGAAGTCAAGGTATAACATCACATAATCTTAATAGTGAGACTAGACGGGGATGAGCGGACAGCGTCACGCTCTGGCAGGTTTATCCCCCAGTGAATGAACCCTTGCCACCTAGTGGATGGGAGGTTGGTAGAAGATATAATATTAACAGAATGCTGATCAACGTTTCAACAGAGAGGACTTCCTGTAGCAGTGGTGCCACAGTTGGACATTAAACTTGTTTGCTGTGGAAATTATAGTTATATATTCGTCAATAGAGCCACGGTGGTCTAGCGGTTAGAACGCTGGCCTTGTAATCCTGGGGTCTCGGGTTCGATTCCCGGCGGTGCCCGAATTTATAACTTGTGTTGGGCAAGGCCGTGGTCTAGGCAACACGGAGTTTTCCTCCGGGCATCCCAACAATTACTCCATTCACACACAGAAGAAGGCAATGGCAAACCACTTCTGGATCATCTGCCAAGAACGTATATGAACAGGTCCCAGTCCGAGAAAAGGATGGAAGGATCCTGTTCATATGGACCTGTCGTCAGACAGAACACTACAAATAAAAAAAAATCGTCAATGCGAGTCTGTCGTAATGTGCGGGTTTTCAAATTAAAACTGCGCCCTGAATACGTTTTAGACCTAACCTTCACTTGCATCCATCACTTCGAGGAGTTATAGAAATATTTGCGGCTATAAAGATTTTATCATCACCATACCAGAAAACGCAATACGAGGCAGGTTTGATGCACAATGAAGATGGCGCCGTGTAGAAATTAACAGACGTTTCAGAGGTGTTTGCTGTCTCCGCCATTTAAGCGCTACAACCCAGAAGGCACAATTCGGCGGTCACGACTAAAACAAACAGGGCAATATATTTATAACGGCTGCAGACTTTCTTATGACCTCAACATACGTATCTCCCGTCCGAAACTCTGAATCTTCTGGGATGTCAGAGGCCTGAAGAAGTTCTCCATGTCCTCTTGTTATTTTTGTTGGTGACGTGACGTCACCAGGCTGAGCCAATGTTCCACAAATGCGCGTCACAGTTTATAAAACTGTCAGCGACGCAAAAGCGTCGTCCCGTAACGCTTTGATGTCGAGCCCCTATTTAGGAAAATACATACAAACAAAGAGTAAAATAAGTGTGTGAAGCTGTACTCTATTTTAGAGTTAACTAAGTTCCGAACTGTTATTTGCGATTGTAAAAGACTACGTTCGCGCGCGCGCGCGCGCGCGTGTATGTACGTATATATATCAATATATGTGCATATATGAATTTTCTGATGACTCTATAACAGGGATTACAATGTAATATTACTTCCGCGTGGTTCTTTAAACCTTTGTGCTCCTAGTAATTATGAATTATTGATTTTCTTCAGCGCGATGTTTCTGTAACTCCGTTTCCCGCCATGTAACAGGAACAGGAGGGACAAACAGGGCTGTATTATCTTTCTCTGCATTTCATTAAACACTTTAAACCCAAGATATCGTGTATATACATCGTCAAAGACTGATATAATTTTGTTTATTTAACTTCATATTTCAATGCAGCGTGATAGACGCCTTATCTTAAGAACTGAAATTCGTTCTTCCTACATACTAATATATAAACAGTAAATTACTCAAAAAATGAATACCCAAAGAATAAGCTTAAATTGAACCCCCCCCCCCCCTGGAAGCTATGTAACAACGTACTTCGTTTCATACGCACAGCATCGCGGTGAGTGCGCGCTTTATAAATATTTATGGAGAGTGCGTGCAGCCACACAGCGAAGACTTTGTGGGAGGGGAAATTGGAGGCCCGAGAAACTTCAGAAAGACGTCTATTGCTCTGAATTCGCTGCAAAGTAATGTTCATTGGTATCTAACGACAGTGCATTGCCAAAGACTGAGGACAAACAAACGCTCCTAGCGTCGTAAAAGTTATGGGCATTTTTCTCCATTTACTTCTCTAAAATCCCATAACATTACTTAAAGAAACGCGTATAAAATAAGAGCAAACGATTATGCTTAGTTGTACCAGTACACATTTCTGTGGGAGGCTTCCGGTCTGTATCACGAACCAGAACATTGTGTCTCTTTTATGCTCCCTTATCACGAAAAGAAATGACGTCTTCGAAGGCCATTTCCGCTCGAGTATCCTGCTTCTCTACAACCGAGGAAAAAATTCTAATACCCACTACACGCATCAAACCATAATTCAACCCAGAAACCAATGTGGGCGATCGCTAACAATCTATTCCCCAGGTTAGAACAACGTGCGAAACGCCTGGCAACGGCTGCAACTTCTCCTGCACCCTTGTGTGGCGGGTCTGTCTAACTTGATTTAGTACGGCGGAATGAAGCTACTTCGGGGGAAAGAAAAAGAACGACGCAGCTCGAATGCAGATAAAAATTCGAAACATCAAAACACAAACATGACGCATTTAAACCTTAAACCTTAAATCAAAATGTCATTGGTGTCTTGTACTACAGTAAAATGACATCTTCAGTTCTCATTCTTTACCGTTACAAACCACGTGTCTGTATTTCCGAAAACACATGAGAACATTTCAGTGCTTGGCGCGTTTAAAATTCTAACATAATCCTTTGCAGGCACTGATGAATCGTAATCAATTATTTAAAATACTGGTTTCCATTACCCGATTTAACGTTAAGAGACTAGGTGTTCAGCCCTTAATGTGTATTTAACTTAAGCATTTCTGTTTGATGCTCTGAGGAAAAAGCTATTATCATTTTTTAAACCGACAGACAGACAATATGTTTTCTTTCAGAAATCGAATTTTTAAATATTTGCATCAGCTTCTCCATCTAAAAATTAATGCGACGTACTTTAGCAAAAAAAAAAACCCACGCACTTTACAGTACACAGAAATATTATAACATCACGCTGCTGGTATCATCACATCTTTTCGTGAGATCACATCTGCAGTTCCTCCTTCTTCCACGACACGACACAAACCATGCGTCTTACTTCCTTCTGGCGGTACATGAAAGCAAACAAATGCTTCCTAAAGAACCAAGACCCCCGTTTGAATATCCAGAACGTTTGTCGAGAGACGGGAGTAGAATAGTGAGGGTGACAATCAATTCTATGGACCACGATGTTGAGGTGATTGTTCTCTAGAGCCTGACATGCACAATTTGAAGAACAAGAAGGAATAGCCGATTGTCTCCTGTGGATTCATGAGAAGAAAAGACGGTACGTTCTCTTTCCAGGTCGGGGGGAGGGGGCTTGAGGGTAATGGCTGTTAAGAATCCCTCAATGCTTCATCACAAGGACCTCGAAAACTATACGTCGCCAGATGCTTCGTCCCCTGTCACAGCGGGGAAAAAACAACAAACGCACAAGAGAACACTGACTGGGAAAAATAACGACAGCTGGTTTCGACTGTGTGAAGTTAAGATCATCAGTGGGAGCACCAGTTATTACATGGACCATAAAATTTAAATGTAATCTTGTTAGTTGCAGCGAGTCGCATTTTACACCCTTAAAATGTACAGCGAAACTGCCTTTAATAGACTGTATCTGGCGGCCCTTTTTCCATTCTGGATTATAGAGCTAACAAACAGTCACATTGCTGTTCCTAGATTATTAAATACCTGCTCACAGCGCTATAAAATAGCTTTTTTATTATGTCGACTGAGTGAAAATGTCTAGAAGATTAGCGGATTTGACATAACGAGAACCTCGTCATTTATGCATCACGCCTATGATTCTAGTCTTGTATTTACTTACATTCTGATGTATATTTTGGTGACCGGATATTAACATATAATACACTGTACGAAATTTTATATGTTTATTTATGGGCAAACATCTTTCCTTAGGATGGCCCAAAATCTACCTAAAATCTGATAAAAATGTACGCTAGCATAATGTATGAAAATTGTATTTGAATTATTTATCGTTTTGAAGCTTTATATAATTATATACACCTGAGGATGGTTCTTTTAGGAACTGAAACATGTCGTGAAACATGAAAAATGATGGTCTAATGTAAATCGAATATTTCGATAAAGAACATCATTTAATATTTTAAATATTTTAAATGTTAATTATTGTAATATTTTAATATTTAATAAGAATTATTGTAATTATACGGACAAAATTTAATATATACTTAATATCTACCTAGGAAGTTCAAAACTCAATGTTCTCCGCGCGGATGATTACAATTTAAAGAGACACACTGTAGTTCTCAAGCAATTTGTTTTCATTCGATTTTGTAGATAACAAAAAATGGCGGCCTACAGTACCGAGCAACGGATATTCATGACCGAAGATTACATTCGACATTGAAGCACAGAAAGGATCAGAAAAGCATTTCAGCTAAAGTCTGGCGTCGAAGTTGAACCGGATAGGCACATAACTTCTAAGTTCGTCTGAAAAATTTCACAATATAGGATCAGTTGTCAACAGCAACTAACTAATACTCTCACTGAACACATTGTAATATCAATTACATGAGGTGCTAATTTAAATTTATTTTAATTAGATTTTTATGCGTAATCGTTCAGGAAAAACAAAGCATTAAACTTAGTAGGTACATTTTGGGTCATTGCGTATCTGCTAATAGAATTTATATGATCACTCTTTATGGTACTTATCTTTATAACAAATTAATAACTAGAAAAGAGAATTCGGGAGACAAGTACATCCTATCCTTGGCAGACTGTCGGAAAATAACGACTTCTTCACGAGCTTGAAACACGATATACACTGCCAAGTTATTGAGAGGCACTTAACGAATTTGATATTCTCGACGTAGGATAAATCCCAGATGCACTCCGTCACGATTCGCTTCAAACATTCTGTTGCATTACAGGTCTCGCTACTTTACAGACGCTGTCATGAGTATCTATCGCACGCACGGCGCATTTGACTACAAAACTGATTATAACGTTACATTGGTAGTGACCTCAGATCCATCAACTTTGTCACAGCCGGCAAACAAGTTACGAGCTCCGCTGTAATCTAATTTGAGCAGACAACGGCTCGGTTTGCTGGAACGTGGGATTGGGAGATGCTGGCATGACAGAATACATGTAACTCCCTGGCACTACGGCCGTCAGAGGTTCTTCAACATTACAACAAAGGGCTACCATTTAACCCTTGAAGCCGAAACTCGTCTAAATATTTAAATATTCACTCCGTACCGCAAAGAAAACACAACTCTGTAGAAGCACAATCGTATCTTCGTATTTCGTATCCCACATAGACAGACCTATAACAATTTCCAAATTCAGATCTAACGCTGTCTGGGCGCCCTTTGCTTTGGTGTGTAAAATGCGTGTCGGATCGCAAGTCTATATCAAATAAAAATTTAAGGTTTTAAACAGGTAAAGTCTGGGCAGCAGCGGTGGACAGACTTAATACGGACAATATATTATGTTGTCAGAGCAGAAACATGTTTGGGGTTATGATTTTGTCTCAAGAAAAAAAATATTGTACGTTAATAATCTAAATAAGAACCCGCCGAACCCCCTGGGGTTCTGGAGAACACAGTTTGGAAATCACTGTGTACACAGTGGTCCACTGGAAGGAAACATGCCTCCATGTGACACCTGCAGAGCCGTCAGCTATAAGGTTAGGCGGTCTGCGGGCCCTCGATCTCTGGCATAAAGGGTTAGAGTTACAGAAGCCATAACGCTCAGCGTCACGTACAAACGGACACTCGCTCACAGAAGACCTTGCTCCGTGGCAGTGCTGATGTGGCTGTCGCAACTGCTGGACAACGTCCAAATGGTCCAAAAGAGACACTGAACTCCGGTATGAGGACACTGACTCTGATGGCCTCTTCTGCAACTGCCGGACAGCTGGAATTTACATAGACATAACGGCGAAAATACCAACGCCAATGCATGACTTGTACTGGGTAAGAAACAACTTACTGTAGCCCCTCATACAATATTAAGATGACCAAATCCAGGAATATTAGTGCTCACATTCCAGATACACTGATAACAAGTATAAGCAACTTACCAACTGAGACGAGCAAAAATTTTGAACATTCTGAAGTCTCTTCTCGCGGACGCTGTTATCTGCAGCAATAGCAACTAGTGACATCTGTGAACAAAGAAAAGCAAAGATGCAGTTAAGATTTTATGTAGTACACCTCATAAGGTAGCAAATCACATGATGTAAGAATATGTTAAACAAATTAAGACGTCATTCTGCATCTTAATTCCAAACGAAAGAAGAGACACACTTTCTGAACCTTGCGTTACAAAAATAAATAATTCTGGTATAATAATTGCTATATACTAAGACTGCCTACTTCTGAGGTGCAAATGACAAGTTTGAATATATGAATACATGAAGGTATACTTCACACATACTGCATACACAGTTGAAACAAACATTTAAGTTCCAAATCATTCATCCTTTAGTGCCATGGGGATAAAAACATTTCCAAACAATTTCTTAAGATTGTTCACACGACTAAACTGAGGATGAATGACTGAGCCATGCAGCACTCGTGGCGATGCACAAGCTTTTGGCCTTTTTAAGCTCTCCGAACCTTCGGGTTATAAAACACCGGAGGTCCTTGACCAGCTGAGACTACAAAGTGCCCGGGGAATATGGCCCTTAACGGCGCTGTTTAAACTTCGAAGGCTACGTAGTATTAATTGCGTAAGACTGGAAGATAATAAATTGTAAGTAATGGTTTGGATAAAGGAGACCACTGCCCATTTCAAGGTATTAACCTGAAATTCTCCGGGACAGACTAAGGAAAATAACGAAAACCTCAAATAGAACTGCCGGTTATCAAACGCGGGACCTTACGAATACACCAATGCCCTTTGTCTGACAATGTACAGTCTTCTGCATTTTAAAATACACGCTTATGAATGTAGTTACATCCTCAATCAACGTCTCCTCTGAATGCATCTTCGTAGTTCAGTCGCAGGCCTTCCAGACGCCTTCCAATAAAATGAAGAAGGTTCACGAAGTTTAGTGCGAACGGAATCTAAGCGTGAAGCAGTAAATGATTCCAGTTGGAGGCAATGCGCCCCTATCTTGGAATCTCTCGTCATAAATCCTACCCGATATACACTCTCTTCTGGAAAGCACATTAATTCTTACTCCTCTGGGTCTCTTTCTTTATCCACATCGCTCTCTTTGAACGCAGATGGCAAGTGAAAGAAGATAAATACGTCAGCGACTTCCATTTTTTATTCGTGTGTAGAACTTCCCGTATTTTCCATTAAAGATGTATGGAGCGCAGTGGTTTCTCGGTTTTAGAGAAACCTTATAGAATCACAAATTGTCTGCCGCGGTTTTAAATTTTATGTGTATTGTAGACGAATCAGCGTCGTATTTACAGAACTGATTCGCAGATTTATCCCTGAAATACCTGGGACACGAAAGCGTCATTTTATAAAAAAAAACTGCTTTGAAAAGGTAAACTTGTGACCAACATTTATGCCAACAGTGCATCCGGATTTTATTCAAACCCTTATAAAATATTACATTGTGGATATGAAGCACCGGGTTCGTATCGGTCCCGCGGTCAACTGCTCGGTCATTTTTTGAGGTCGTGCTGTTCGTCAGTCAGAACCGCCGAAAGCAATTTTCTATTCCACACAATAACAGACTGAAACAGCGAGTATACGTCGGTGCAAGGGTAAAGGATTGTAAGACCAAAAAATTAAAAGCGAAATATGATACAGAAGTGTCTGCTTGTTAGACATTTCCTACTTTGGTAAGACAAGACATAGATGCAGTCTTCAAGTAGGGGCTGTGACGTGGAAAGCTAATCGCAGGTCTACAGGATTGTTAGACTTTATTAGATGCGCGTTCACACGACATCGCTTCTAACACGTGACAGTGTCCGACAGGCCCTTTTGATCACACCTCTGCATCCTCCAGCCTTCATTTCCATGGAGATTGTCCCGACACGATCACGAGTTGGGTAGCCAGATCAAACAAATCTGTCTCCTCTCTGTGTCAGCAATCTGTTCTTTAATATGAAGCCATGTTCGCCCTACATCCTGACTGAGCTAGGCTCCTCTCCCGGTCAATATTTAGATACGATCGCAACAAATGAATAGCACCCTACTTTTTCGGTAGATCTGTCTTTCTATATAAATCTTAATAAACCGATCCTGAAGACACGTTCATAAGCGACGGTGTTAATACGGGCTGCAGACCTGTATTAACTGTGCAGGGCTAACTGCATCATTTATCGGCACGATCTCGTATGAAGTTCCTCTGACAAGAAGCTACAATTTACGTGACTGTACCCAACACCCGAAGCCCGTTTTACACCTTCCAATATTTCGTTAATTAATTTTTGACAACATAGACTGGCGAGGTACTATCTGACATTTCGGAGTTGTTGGAAATTGAGTAATAAAAATGTCAAGTAGCTTAGAAGTCGTTGGAACTCGTTTCTTTGATAGTCGACATCGAGCTCCTTTGGACTCTGTCCAAGGGTCAACATGTATAATTACAAGACACCATAGCATTTAACAGTTGAACTCAATTTAACTCGCTTGCAGACTGAGTTTCTTACAGCTGGGGGAATACACAGGACTGTTAGCAAAACAGAAGTGTCGTTCACCGGCTAATCGACAACGTTTATAATGTCACAGATTATCACGGGAGCAAAAATCGACGTTTCAGAGTCCCACACGCATCCAGCAATATTTAGACTCTACGACTTCAATCTAGTTGTGAATTATGGCGGAAACAGAGGCATCTGTCCACTTTATGCCTTCAAGAATTGAAACGTAAGACATTCACCAGGACAGGATGTTCAACGACTTAACCCAAGATCGTCCCAAATTCAAGCCGTATACTTCACCGAGGAGCTAGTCACCATGTGAACCAGTTTTTACTCAAAACAAACTAAGGGGGCGAAATCTGACACCTTCTACACTACTTCATTGTATCCGTCCCAATGGGCCGGAGCTCGTTAAGACAATGACAAGGGTCTACATGTCAGCTGATGAATGGTCACATGAATGCACATCACGTTCTAAAGAAAAGTTAGCATTCAGTCTCAAAACCACACACACACTTGTGAGAGACAGCAGAGAAAGGTTTGGCTGTCAGCTTCGAAAGTCGGAATCACAGTTTAATACCACGTACGTTGCCATGCCATACAGCAGTCTAGGACAGGGAAGTAGGCCCCATACTATCGGCCAACTGCCCCAATTTTAATGCGAGTCTTTGTATGTATGTATACATATGTGTCTCTATTCCTCCTCTTCTATTGGATATTTATCTTGTTTCATTTATATCTTTAGCGAGAAAAGTATTTAACAGCTCAAAAAAATTATTGTGTTGAAACCGACAGGTTCTTTTAGTCATCACAAAAATTCTCCATGTCACCGAATTTCTTTCGATCAATTTTTTATATCTCCAATCTACGTCCAAGTCTGCGATAGAGTGTTTTACTAGGTTTTCCAAAAAAGAAGACTTTGTATACATTACTTATTTCTTCGTAAATGCTACCATCTACCATTTTGGCCATCGTAATTTTCTTGTTTAATTTATATGGCGAATCAAACAGTGAAGTTCCTCGTTGCGTTATTTTCTCACTTTCGTGCAAATAATGTCCTTGGAACCTTGTACAGCAACGGCGAAGAAGTGTTTGAGAACAGCCTTGCTGTCTGTCCCGGGGGCACTGCAGCGCGACACCTGGTGATCCCGCCTGCACCTCATTCGTACGACGCACCGAGCCCCGAGCAACGAAGGAAGAGAGACGCCACCAGCAAGAGGCCGAACAGGTTTCTCCTCAAATTCGGTATCAACGGCAAAATCAGAGAACAGGTTTAAATCAATGAATTATAGATGTTAATTACAATTAAGTGTATACAGTAGTACACGGGAATGGTATAAATTAACCGGACAGGATGGGCGAGGTTCATTTTGCTGCTGTTATAATGAACCGAGAACAACTCGCGAGAAAACGAATTTTACTGCGATCTGCCAGATATGATCGAACTCTGAACATTGGCGGCAACTGCACGCTTGTCGTGTCTCTCGGCGCAAAGAGACTGTATTACGCTGCAGATTCCTTCGTTGGTCCTTTGTGCGTCTCACACTTTCGCTACGAGAATCATAGACGAACACAAGAGTTGTATTACATGGAGGATGATTCGTGCAGATGACATCTGTGCCAAATACCAGCATCGCCTTGGAGCAGAAAAATAAACAGAGTCTGGATTTGATCAAAAATATTCCAAAATGGTATTTTATTACGAAGGAAAACCCTCAGTGTTTTATTTTCCGTGTATTTTAAATCTGTGTACGATATGTTCAGATATACATAATGATCCATCAAAGAGCTACCCTACGAATTTCTATCATATTTAGTGTTTGGGGTTGCGGTCTACAGAGTCATCACGTGGGTCCAAGTTTGTTAAATATCGCTACAACGTAAATTAAACTTAATCAATTTTCTCAAAATTCCTATTATTATTTCTAAACAGTTCAGCATTCTCCTCCTCAGTGTCTTTGTGTGTGTATATAATTAATTATTTACTTACGTTTGAAAACGAGTAATAATTTTTCCATCTGCTAATTCTTGTATTTTCGTAACTGGTCCATTAATTATTTTCCTTTCTGCTCGTTTCTCACTCTTATTTCTAGTTATTTCTCTATCTTTTGTTTCTGTTTATTTTACCATATGAATATCCCTTTGTATGTATTGTGTTCGTCATATCTTCCTATTCCATCGTTTCGCTCCTTTCTCCCCTTATTCTTATCTGTCCCTCTTTATCAGCATTCCCTTCTTTAAAACAAGACGGGACGGGGCTCGCAAATGACCGAGCGATCAACATCTACTGCAAATTTCTCGCTCGAGCTGACAGCAGCAAACGGTTAGTTGCTGCTGCATCTACCTGCACTGGAAGAATTCCGCGACTAGACTGAAATCTAGTTGTTCAATCAAGTCTCATTACGCGAAGTACTTAAGAGCCTGTGGCATCTTTTATATAACAAAAACGTGTAAAGGGAAACATTCAACATACTCCCTCACTGCAATCAGGTCTGCATTACGCTAACATTTTTCAGTGTCAGGAAATTACGTCAAATTTTCTAAGATGACGTGTTAA